GGACCACAAAGAGGCGCAACATCCGCCGTATCATTTGGCGATCCTTCTTCAAAAGACCGTCCTCCATAGAGACGGTGCCCGGCTATCTGCGTCGGAGGCGTAAGGGTGTATGTATGCCCGGTTGTCAGCTCTCACGAGTCGATAGATCGCCGGCCTGCCGTTCCGTCGCGACAGTCGATGGATCAATGAGCGCCTCTTTGGTGTTCTTTACTGGCTCTTGGCAAACCAATCTGCCTACGACGGAACTTCAGAACACCTCATGGACCTCGTACGGTATGCCGTTGTTTGGTCGATAAGCCTCCTGCTTCATGTTCAAGTTACGAGACCGTAGCTAATATCATGCATAGCGCATGTCTTCGGAAAAGTTGTCTGGCACCCGTGCTTTGGCTGGCAAGAATTTAACAATATTCCCTCTGATGATATTTGGGTTGGAGTAAACACTGTGATGCCGTGCTACAACAACAAAATCTCCAAGAGCGGGTTAAGCAGCTACGGCTATTTTTTCCCGCCTCGTACCATGCATCCACGTCGCTGTCGCACGCCGCGGACGTTAACTTCTTCGGGATGAAATAAGGCTGGCTGTGGACCTGGGGCCTTGGAATTGGGCGGTTCTGTTCAGCCAACTAGCTTGCAGAAGCTCGCTGCTTGTTTGCGACAGAGTTCCCTAGGGCCGGCGGAATGGAAAGACCGCGGATGAGCGACAGAAGATCGACTCAGCCTGTGAAATATTTGGTTAATGTCTCGCCAGTGAAGGCATCTAGTGGTGGGTAGGCTAAGGGTTGGAGGGTGCGGGCTTGCCATTATCCTTCATGGCGATCTGCATCGGGCAGAAGCCAGTGGCAGCACCATTATCGAGCTTTCGGTACTGGAAGCTATCAACGTCGGCGCGGCATCCCAGGCAGTCTGCGTTTGTTAATCGGAAGGCGTCAGCAGTTGAGAAAAGGCGTTTGCTACAGCGCATGTAAGCATCGGCAGAGGCAAACACGCATATATCGACCTAGCTGAGGATTCGGTCTTCGCAAGGGTTGTACTACTCAACATGGTGTCCCGTCTGATCCCTAGCTAAACCGGCAGGCCGTATTTCACAACTACACTCAAGTGTGTCACGGGCATCCGGCCTCCATTCCGCGCCTGCTTCGTCATCAGCCAACGGCGTGTTGTGGGCGCTGCAAACGGAAGCGAGCTCCCCAAGCTATCATCGGTCGGTTCGTTTGCAAACGCCATCCCGACCCAGCCGGCAAGCGACTTGACGTCTCAATGCACGATGACCATGTTTTCGCGTGCGTTAGAGTGGTGGAATTCTCCAGCGAGAGACGAGGATCCCTCGATGGCCATTGCTCTTCGGCCATGACCTGATACTGTGCGACCGTCAAAAACTCTAACATCTGGTAGAGTTGGCAACAAGGAGACGAGTTCCTGAGGCCAGGCAAACAAAATAGATGGAAAACAAAGACTCGGCGGGATGACGATACTTGGCTTCCGCTCCTACACCCAATCAGCTGCCGTTTCTTTCGGATAAGATCTGGCCGGTACAACCAGTAATAAGCCTCTTGGCGAGTCTTTGTTCCATGCCCTCTCACTCTGACAAGTGGTTCGAGTAACGAGGGTAACACACGCGGCCTCCATTTTGTGTAATCGCAAGTACCCATCTTTGACTGCGAGGGCACGCATCATCTTTGAGAAACCATCAAAGCTTATATCACCTGATTTGTGTCCTCGACTTCAGTACTTGGTACCGAGGCTCCGTCGTCAAACTACCCCAGATACCTCTACGCCCAGTCGAAAGCCTCAGCACCAGCAAGCTTTCACACAAGCAAAGCACAGCGTGTTGTGCTCGTAGCTCCCATACTAAGCTCGAACGCCAGTGCTGCGCTAGATCCATCAAACAAAGGATCGTGATAATACAGCTTTGTTTGTTGACTGCTTGCCTGGCATATGGAGCTTGAGCACACAGGCTGACAATGACCGAGCTCACCCCAGTCGCTTTGATCTACAGTCAAAGATCCGGCCCTCCTAGATTTATCGTTCCCAACTATGCCAATATGTTAACAGCAGCACCCAGTCCTCTTTGCTCGCGGTTGGTGATTCTGGCTCGCCGTTGCGTTCGCACGGTTTACTGTACGGTATTGCTTGAGACCCATGCTCTGTATCTGGGACCCTTTCTCGATACGTGCGGCGCCGGCAGCTAGTCAACCTGGTCCTTCAATCTATTACATTTGACGCAACTAGTGCAAACTGCATTTATTGGCTCGAGCTCTTAATATTTAACAACGATCGTGCCCGGGTTGTTAGGCAGAAGTGACTGGGTAGAGTTTGGGCAAACACGATCTCCCTTTAAGGAATCTTACATCAAGTACATTTCAGGATCTATCATCTCCTGTTCAGGCTCGATCGCTTCACGTGGCAACGTGGTACTACGGAAAACTCCAGAAGCAGTATTCTTCGGTCTTCTTTTCCTTCCTCTACCCCTGGTGCCCTGGTCCTTCACCCCGTACCTGCCCGGAATCATGTAAGAAAGAGTGACGAGCCGTCTCATGTCGTGGCCCTCGATTCTCCCGCTCCTCGCCCCGCCTGCTCTTCCCTTCCCTGCCTAGGACCCTACGGCTATGGAGGGAGAAGAGCAGGAAGACGCCAAAGTCATTGCCTTTATTGCATTAGACTGAAAACCGAAGTGTAAGTAGAACGATGCCCGCCCAAATGAGCTTGTGCGGCGAGTCGTTGATTTTGAGCTGGCCCCTTCGCCGAAACACACCAACGACCGCGATGCCTTGATCCGCTGTCGTGTCAGGCGGGGGCCAGCCAGCCAGTAGAAGTCCACTGCTGAAGGGTTGAGGGTAGGTGGCTCTGGTATGTAAGGCAGAGCAGATGCGAGCGGGCTTGCTGCTGCCGAGGACAAGGGCGTGGACGATCTTCGCGGTTATGGTATCACACGTGTTATGTTACTTTTGGAAGCTGCTGCTACGGGCGGGTTGCTGCTTTTTTTCCCCCTTTTGCGGCGGCTTGAGAAGAGAGCCTCCTTTACCGTTGCTTTCGGCGATATCACAACTTATTGGTGTAACTTACTCGATTTGCGCTGGTGATTTCGGGCGTGGCAAGGCCGAGATCCCACTCGTTCGGAGAACAAGGCGTTCTCGAGAGAGGCATGGCAAGAAAAGGACATTTTCCTTGAAAACAACTTCCTGGGGGACTGCTTGGCGCACAATATTATCAATGCTGATGCCACGCAGTACTCTTTGTCTCGAAAGTCTGCTCCGAGCCCTTGATGGAACAAGTCCCTCCGTCAGCAGTGTCCGACGTCAGAGACCCGTGGCTAGTATCATCATCACGGTTATCTAGGGAATGCGCTCTACTCGCCGTATCAGATCCGGACCGTAAGGAATTGCCGACTCCGTCGCCGCGGACGTCAACGGCCCGGCGAAGGACTTCGGCTAGGAGCGCAACTCTCACTCTCTGGCTCTCATCTTCGTCTTCATCCTTCTCCTCGTCGTCACCTCGCCTCGCTGCACGAGCGTGCGATGGCTGCGGCGGAGGAGACGGCGAGGGCGGCGGCGTAGGCGGCGGGATCGGGAGCGGAAACACGCTCTGCTGCTGGGCTTCGCGGCGGCGGCAGACGAGGCACTTGCCCGGTTGGCGGAAGACGCCGGAGCATGAAAGGTCTGGGCATTCTTTGTCACCCCGCGACGAGCCGTCGAGGGAGCGAGAGCGAGAGGTGGATGCTCGTTTGTAGCATGGGTGAGTTATGTGGTGGCCTTGCCAGCAGCCGCAGGCGACGTGGTAGACGTTTTCTGCGAGGCACATTTTGTGAGATGATTCTGTGCTGCGGTGTTTCCCTTGATGGTTGGGTTGTGTTGAGTGGCGGGGATGTTGGCTTACCTTGGTATATCGTCAGATTCGATCAGGAGGTGGACTGGTTCGAGTTGAGGTTGGTGATGTGTGTCAATTGCTCTGTAGTGTTATCAAGCTTGGGGGTTTTCGAAGTCTTTGAAGGATGGGTGAGCTTTTGTTGTTTTGTCCCTCTCTTCCGTCTCTTGATAGTTGGGGCTCGGAGGGAAGTCTTGTGATATAGACCCAGGGAAGGGGAGATGCAGACATGCTTCTCGTGAACATGGCATCCGTAGATCTTTGTGATAGGTGTTGTTGAAAGTTGAAGTTTACTTTGTTCGAATAAACACAATGGCTCTGATGTTTACGAGAGAAAGAAACAGGCTGAGTGTGTACGGAGGGAACTAGGGAGGACAATGAAGACTCTTCATTTTGAACAAGTTGCTCATTTCGCGCTTGGATGTCTCCCTTTATGTGTTGGAAGTCGATTGGCTTCAAGCATGTGTAAGCCATAATTATATATACACCCACCTCAAGCATCTCAAGACTAACCTCACAAAAGGAGTTGAGTGTTCAACTTGGGAGGTAATTTCGAATACCAGTATTCTTTCCATACGCCTCTGGCTCTGATATGCGAGCCTTACTCTAGTTCCAGGAAGAGGTGGAGAGATAGGCAATCTTCAACATACTCGCTTTTAGGAGAGAGTCTTTGTTCCGATGAAAGAAATATCAGCTTGTCGAGCGGCTCGGTATGGCCCGGCCTTGGTTATTCGAAAGGGAGGCTTCTGTGCTTGCACGAAGAGGGTTGAGCGGCAACCTTATAGGCTTCCAATTAACAAAGGAATAGCAATTTGACCCAAGTGAAGCAAGTCTTCAAGAGAGAAGCAAATCATGGAGATCAAGCAGAGAGATCGTGCATTAGGTTGTGACGTCTGGATTGGTTGGTTCATAAATCTTCAGAATCAATTCGTGCTATTTCTGGATTTACCTTGATCTCTCAACTGATTTACATGCCAAATGCCGCCGAGATTTGCCTAGAAAAGGTGGCAAACAAAAGTCTCATAATTTCATAATCGTATCTTCATTTCTACACATCTACTCTAAAGTCCGCAACATCATTTCCCCTTTCCAATCTCCATTGTCCCCTGTTTATTTCTTCGCAACATCTCGCATCACACCTAATCAACCAACCTAGCAAGGTGAACACCATCATACAACGGCATCAACCAAGAATCCAGCCTCGGCTCATCATGCACGGCGCTGTTGAACTCGCGCAGCTTATCCACGTCCTCGGATTTCCAGTACGCTGCGCGTTCGCCCTTCTCGCGCTGCACCCACGGGTTCTCGTCCGAGTCGTCGGCGACGATACCGCGGCGGAGGACGTTGTCCGCGACGATGAGGCCGCCCGCACGAAGGAGACGGTTCTTGCCGTCTTTCTGCGATGCGGCGAGGATGGTGGATAGGTAGGATGGGTATCCTGACTTTTGGGCGTCGATGAAGATTAGGTCGTAGGGTTCTGAGGGGTTCAGGGTTGGTAGGCTGATTTTGAGTGTTAGTTAGGTGGGATGGAGGTGGTCTCTCACAGCCCCTTTAATGCTACCCATCTTCTTCGTTCTTATCCGACGAAGGTTTGGTGGCACTAGAGGGGCCGAAAGAGTAGTAATTCGAGCCTTGGAAGGGAATCTCACGTCTCCAGAGCGTCGCCGACAACGACGGACGCGTTCTTGATGCCGTTGGCGGCCCAGGCCTCCTCGGCTTGCTTTGCGTAGTCTGCGCTGAATTCGAGGCCGGTGACGGTGCCTTCTGGGCCTACGGCGTGGGACCAGACCATGCCGGAGTAGCCTACGTAGACGCCGATTTCGAGGACTATGGAGGGGTGATGTTTTGTTAGCATTGGTTTCTGAGTTTTGAGTTGATTTGCGTGAGAGCCGCGTGTGTCAACCCCGACTCCTTGGCTCCACGAGAATTGGCCGTGGCTAAGACATGAGGCATTGTAGAGAAGGTTGACAACCCCCTGAATTATTCACCTAGATCTCTCTAATATCTCACTTGAGTTCGGACTATGGTTGAGTTGAGTTGAGTTGAGTTGCTTCACAGGAGACACCGCGTCGCAGGTCCAAAAGCGTCCAACAACTCTCAAGCAAACCCACCGTGTCAAACGCCCACTCCTCCTCTCTCACCCAAACGCAGAAAGAAAGCGGCAAAACGAGAAAAGAGGTCGATAGAAAAGAACGCACTTCTCTTGGCCCCAATAAGCTTCGCAATCCAAATGTGGTTCTGCGCCTGGAAATTGCTAATCATCAACATGGACGTCTCGGGCTGCGTCTTGTCAATGTGGTCGTGGTAGGCGATAATGTGCGCGGGCAGGTCGGTGGAGCGGGACTCGGAATACGTCGTCACGTTGCGCGAGACGGACTCGTTTGGGTAGAGGACCGAGACGGAGGACTTCATCTTTGCTTTGTGCTTGGCTGTGTGACTTTTCTGAAGCTGTGAAATGGGCGCGGTTTTCTTGGATATTGGAAGAATCAAAGTTGTCTAGTAAGAGCGTTGTCGGTTTGTGAGACGTTATGAGGATGAGGTGAGCTGGTTGAACTGGGTCGAGTCAGGTGGATCGCAACGGGACCATTCGTCGGCACTCCTCGTCAAACAAGTGTATGAAGTGCAAAAGTTATGATTTCCAAACAGAGAAACCAGAATGGTAAGAGAGAGAGAGAGAGAGCCTGGTGTATTTATGCCAAGTATGAAGTTCCCAAACGACCCCCCTCCCCTCCTCCCCCGCCAAACGTCGCGTTGGCGTCGATTGTTAAGTCATCCTCTCATACCTTAGATGACAAGTGACAACCACGGACATCGTGTCACAACAACCCCGGTCCCATCCCGCGCGCGGAACGGGTGGACATGAAGAGCAAACGTCGCGCCCTAGTTCCGAGAGCTGAAGCAGAGATCGACCCCTCCATTCATCGGTGCGGGTTCCACCCCCACCTCTTTCCATCCCCCGCATTCGGAGCAAGATGCCGGTTGTCGAGTGTGGTCAGTAGGTAGCGTCCCCCGGTTGCGCAATCGCCCACATTCACCACCCCCCGCCAGAAGGAATAGAAGACTCCAATGGCATTCAAAGAATATCCGTACCGGACATAAGTGAGATAGAAGTAACCAGTTAACCTGCCTGTTCGGCCGAAGTCGCCATGAAAGCTCGGCTCGGCGATTGGGTGCCTTGATGGAGCACACAAGTCAGTCTGCTTCGTTCGGACTTACTTCTTCAGACGACGAGGCGCTTGGTGGATCTATCTTTACCCAACCGACCGCACCGAACTGCTACAACTTCCACGTCTAGAAATCGTCGGGCCTGACACACGGCACTTTTGGAGAGGAGGGGGGGTTGTAGTTACTTTTGTAAGGTTACTTCGATATCGACCCTCCGTTTTCGCCGCATTCTTGCCCACTTGGGGAATTGCTACCCTTTTACTTTTTGTACTTCTTTCTTGACAGGTGCTTGTTTTACAGCGGGAGGTTAATCTTGCAGTTCGATTTGAGAGAGGGGGAACGGGCAAACATTGCATCTGCCTGCACGACATCATGCGAACTTTGGATTAAATCCGTACCGGCCGAAGAAGAAGGGAAAAAAAGGGAGTTGGGATGGAAGGGAAGTTTTTGGAAACGGGTTACAGACGCGCTCGGTGCCGTTGCGGCGGGACTATCTACTGCTCAAGGTACCTTAATCCCGAGGTTCCTTACTTGAGTATCTTACAGGCCACACCGCACCATCCCATGACAAATGCCGTTTCTGTTTCGGGAAGGAGGGGCGGTTCCGAGGGACGACTACTGCACAGCAAGGTGATTCTTCAGTGACACTGTAAATAACCACATCAAAAACCCAAATTGCCGACTTATCTACGTAACGGCGTTTTACACTCAACCTTTCTCTTGAACACATACCGTGCTTAATGGCTGCGCGTAACCTGTTTCCTTCTAGATTCACTTTCTCATCAAGGGCAAATTCAGTCATAAAGTGGTTTCCAAAGTGTTGTATTAAGGCGGGGGAACATTAATGTCTAGTGACCTAATTAACAAAAAACTACACAACTAGAAACAAAACCCTCCGCGATATATCTAGCAACAAAGAGACGGAGCGACAGGAAGTTACTCCTGACAGAATCAAGTCTTTTGTTGCCCAAAAATCCCACGCCAAGGGCTGATGATTCTCATATGCTCTTCCGCTCAACACTTTCCCCTCCCTTTTCTCTTCAAGAACAACGACCACTGATCTCCATATCATACGCTTCACCTCAGAGGCAGGAGTCTACTTGTTTCCAGTAACTGCTTTCCAATAGCTACTCTACAGTGGGTCATACCCCTCACAGGCCCTTTTGTAAAAGCGTCTTCCGTTAGTTGATAGAGACACTTAGAGGAAGAAGGCGGCGACCAGGAGAGCACCGGCAAGCGTGAGAGGCGCCTTGACGTAGCTGCCGCCAGCGGTGACGACCGTGGAGGGCTTGCCTCCAGTGGTAGATGGCTGGGTGGGAGGCTGCGCCGGAGTCTGGGCAGGAGGCTGGGTGGGAGGCTGCGCGGGAGGTTGCGCGGGAGGTTGCGCAGGGGGCTGAGCCGGAGGCTGCGAAGGGGGTTGAGAAGGAGGTTGAGAAGGAGGTTGAGAAGGAGGTTGCGCAGGGGGCTGAGCGGGAGGCTGCGAAGGGGGTTGAGAAGGAGGTTGAGAAGGCGGTTGCGCTGGAGGCTGAGCGGGAGGCTGCGAGGGAACAGTGGCAGGCTTGTTCGCAGTGACGGTAGAGTTTTGGTAATGGACTCTGGTGACCGTAGGGCAAGGCGTGCTCGAGGCCTGAGGGGTGACGGGAACAGCCTTCTGCGAAGACGCGACGACAACGACGGAGGCCGAAGACGCAGGCGGCACAGCGCGCTGGGAGGAGACCACGACAACGGGCTTGGAGGAAGATGAAACGGCTTTCTGCGAAGACAGGACAACGACGACGGCAGAGGTGGTGGCCTTGGCGGTCGTGGTGGTCTTGGGCTTCTGGGAAGTCGTCACCTTCTTGGTGGCCGAAGTGCAAGGGGTTGTGGCGTTATGACGGCGGCTGGAGGTTACCACTACCTTGGAAGAGGTCTTGGGCTTGTGGGTGGTTGAGGGCTTCTTCGAGCTGGAGGAAGACTTGCCGGAGGAAGACTTGCAGGGGGTGGTCGTGGGCTTCTTAGAAGTGGAAGACACGCAGGGGGTAGTGGTCTTCTTCGTTGAAGTGCTGCAAGGTGTGGGTGAAGGCTTCTTGGAGGTGGTGCAAGGAGTCGTTGTGGACTTCTTGGAAGTAGAGCAAGGCGTGGACGTTGGCTTCTTAGAGGTCGTGCAAGGAGTGGTGGTAGACTTCTTAGACGTAGAGCAAGGCGTCGTGGTGGGCTTCTTAGACGTAGAGCAAGGCGTCGTGGTGGGCTTCTTGGACGTAGAGCAAGGCGTCGTGGTGGGCTTCTTAGAGGTCGTGCAAGGAGTGGTGGTAGACTTCTTAGACGTAGAGCAAGGAGTCGTGGTGGGCTTCTTGGGGGTTGAGCAAGGAGTCGTAGTAGGCTTCTTGGAAGTTGAGCAAGGAGTCGTAGTAGGCTTCTTGGAAGTTGAGCACGGGGTAGGCGTGGGCTTCCTGGTGGAAGTGGTGCAAGGGGTAGTCGTGGAGGTGGTCGTGCAAGGCTGGGTGACGGTGACGACCTTTGTGCTCCAAGTCCAGGTTGGTCGGCCGGGGCCGGGCACAAAGACCCGGGACACGGTCGTCTCGAAGATGGTCTGCGGGTCCAGGGGCACGGCGGGGAAGTCGGGCTGCGACGGCTGCCAGCCGGCCGGACGGGTCGAGGTGAACATCTGGGACTGGGCCAGTCCGGAGAGGACGGCAACGGCGATGGCGGTGACCCTCATGATGTCTGAGAAGGGGGGTAAGGTGGGAAATGAGAGAAAATGGTAAAAACGATTGACTGAGAGACGAAGTGAAAGGTTCCCGCCTTCCCTACACGATGACAGTGAGCGAGTGACTGATGAATCGGATGAGGATGAAAGAGGAGAAAGTCTGGAGTCTACTCCTCGACTCGCTTTACTTATAACCGTCGGCCTGGTGGCCTTCGGCGACCTTGATCCTTGATAGTCCTTCATGTCTGCAAGGCTTGTTGAGTATCGGTTGCTCATGATGTCGGAAAGAGAGTTTGGGCCGGATGGAGCAACAATCAGACACCGGGGCTCAACATGAAGTTCGTAGACCTCAGGGTTGTGAAGCCATCGAAGCTTATGCAGAAAGCTTCTCCCACTTGATCCACTTGGGACGCAAGCTCCTCCTCCTTCCTCCAGATTGACGGAGCCAAATATCGATGGCAACAAGTCAAGGTTTTTTCTTCAAGCCACTGGAACCTCTGCGGAATATCTCAAGGCGCCGTTCTGGAGCTAGACAGCCAGGCCAGGTTGCTTGCGAATACGGTCTCCCATGAGAGATACGTTGGTTTTGGCGAGTAAGAGCACTGGAGGGCGCGAGTGGTTGAAGTCTTTTCACGCATTGCCGACACTATTGGCGCTCACTATACGATCTTGATGGGGCAGCTGCATGTTTGAACCTGTGCTTGGAAATTGATGAAAACGCTTGGGTACATATTGGTGGCGGGACCTCTATCGGACCTCTTCCATCATTTGGTCGCCTGCCATTCGCTTTTCGTGATAATTCTGCAGCGCACCGTATACCTTTGGTCATGATACTCGACACCCACAGCTTGTTGACTCCGATGAGCGGCGTCCGTAGTTGTGACTCGAAAACGGAAGAGTGGTGATTTGTGCACCTTGACGGAGCTCTCGACGCGGTCGAAAAGCCTTGCGCTTGTTGTCTCCAAGCTCCCCTCAGCATCTGCAGTCTGCAATGCTCAGCTCTGTGTGTTCCGTGTCGGACCATGCTCGCTATGTATGCCTTCTGTCGACTCCATTCTTTCCCACTCTCGGAACACGCTTCCCAGAACCTAACGCCATATTGCCGCGCATTTTAGTAATCGGAGTCATTGAACAGACCGAACCGCATCCGGTGGCTCTGCGTAGGTTGTCAGCTTTGAACTTTGTATGTCTTGTGTCAAGAAAGGGGGAAAACATACAAAAGGCAGCTTGGGGATGACAACTGCCAACACAGCCAAGAAGTTGATGCTAAAGTAGGCGAGGTCGTAGTGCGTGTAATGCGTGCTGAGGAGGAACAGCACGATTGGCACGCTGAGCAAAAACTTCTTGGCGGGTGTGTATTGAGCCCCATCGTCGATTTGTTCCCACATGTTCAGGTTATCAAAAGCACCGCCGTTGAACTCGAATGGCACGCCGCGAACGTAATGAAACATGATGTAGGATCCAAACATGTACGAGATATTCGTCAGAGTCCAGGATGTCTCCTGTGACACGCCCGGCATGACATCGTAGAATATCTTCAAGCAAAGGATGAGGACGAAATGGATTGTCCAGGCGCCTGTAGACGGTGATTGTCAGTTCCTGTTTTCCTACCTTCCAATGGGACTAGATGGGCTGGCACGCGACCAAAGCAAAGAGAATGGAAAGGGGCCATGGGATAGCTTCCGATCAGGGAGCTTCGCGCGGGGCTCACCTTTGGCATTGACCCAGTTCGCATTGAGGTTGGGCACGACGGCCTGGTCGCTTATCTGCTCGAGTGTCTCTTGGGGTTCGTAATGGACCTGGAGGATACTGCTAGATCTCCTTCTGCGGGCACCGGGTTCCGCCATTGCTCTGTACGATCCGCTGCCACTTCGCGGAGGATTTGTGGCCGCGTCGTACGAGACGGTGCGAGAGAGGAGGATTGGGGAAGACAGTTTGGCGGTGTTGAAGGGGGCGTTGGGGTGCGAGTTGGGTTTTGTGGGTGAAATGGAAGAGGGGAAAGTCTCTGCGGGCTCTCGGGATCGTCGTCGGCGTCCTCGTGATGCTGGGGTTCGGCGGAGTGATGAATTTGTCGTGTGCTGGCGGCCCCCTTGATGATGTCACGGGGAAAGCGAGCAGCAATTGACGTTACGTTGAGTTTGATGTTGATGCAGGTGTTGTATATAGGAGATGCTGGGACTGAATGTGGTTGAAATTTGATGGAAGCGAGAGTAGAGAAAAAGGTGTCGTCGGGACAGTCGAAGAGAAGCGAGAGCGAGATTCTGGCTGCGAATGTTGGGGATGCCGTCGTCGTAATAGTCTACTTGGCAATGGGATGAAGGAGAGGATGGGACATTTTCCCTTAGATATTCATAGTAGGGTAGCAGCAGCAGCAGCCAGCGGAACGGGGGCACTCAACTGGGGGGTGGAGGGAGGAGGACAAAAAAGAATGGGGCTATTGGACAGTCCCCGACAAGGCCACGGCACAGGGCCTCAGGTGCAGGGCAGCTGCGCGTGCAGGCAATGGGAACCAGGCACAGTGAAGACTCCACTCATCCACTCCTTCCCAGCAAAAGACACGACAGGACAAACTTGAGATTGGGATCCGAGCCGACAGACAGCTACAGACAACACCAGTTTCCTTCACCTTCCCAGTTCATGGCAGCCAGTGCCAGCCGACACGAGCGTACCGAGAGGAGGACACATTGATGCGGACGACGGGCATGGAGCCCACCCCACCCGGTCAGGGTCGTTCAGGGGACCACCCCAATTTCAGCGGGTACGGGAGACTTGGGGAGGGGGGAGTTGCATACAGTATAAGCACTGGCAGGTCCTGATGGAAGAAAGAGACGGGAACTGACTGGATGGACGGGACGCAAAGGCTCCGGAACCAAAGGAGGACTGGACGGAATTGGACCTGGACCAGGGACACCTGCGTTCACAAGAGAGAAAACAGAGCGGGAGGCAGGGCAGGCATTCCCGCCTCTGGGAGCCGTAGAAGGTATGTGCGGATGGCATGGGAAGCCCGCCACTATCTCGCTCTCAACTTGCAAAGAGGCTCTTGCACCTTATCGCCTTGGCCCAGGAAGCTTTTCCACCAGGTGCGACATGCCCAGCCGGTACACACACCCGACGATATGCTGCTCGATTTGACAACCTTCTCCCTCCCCCACCATCGAAGAAGAAGAAGAAAAGAAGGGACTCTGATCGTTGCATACAGATCCTCACCCAGCTCTCACATACAGCACACGGCATACGGCATGCGCACAACCCTGCCGAGAGCACGGCTCCACAGCTAGACTAAGCACGAGAAAAGATCGAATACCTACCTGCATTCTCCGTACATACAGCGACGCGTCCCGCGGGAAGGGCACTGATGGCCGACGTGAAGCACAGCCAGCCAGACAGACGGTCAGACTCAGACCCAACATGCCACTGTCCTGCCGCACAGATATCCGTACTGTAAGCTCCCCTGCGTTTCCTGGCCCGGCCAATCGTGTTGCAGGATGGATAGCGCAGGACGGAGGCCGGAGCAGCATGCGGCGTAGGTTCACAGGCGCATTTGCTAGCGAATTGGGGTCAGGAAGGGGTTTCCCTGGCCAGATTCAACTAGGAAGATGCCCCTATTTCCGACATTTATTGACGGCAAATCGGTGGTCAATGGCCATTGGGGAGGATGAGATACAGCAAGCAATGAGCAGACTGGCCAGATGTGGAAGCACTCTCACACCCATCCGGATACAACCGCTGGATCGACCCTATCACACAGGACCGCCTACATACGCGGCATGAACATGCCATCCAGGACTGAAGAGAGGCTAAGCTTTGTTGAGCCGGAAGGAGCACAGCAACAGCAGAGCAGCACGATCATATACGGCCCATGCGTGCCATCTTCTCTTCGCCTCACATCATGACATGGATCACATCACACCTGGGGTTCCCGGCGTCTGGTCATCGTTTCCAGATCTGCGTACGGAGACGGATGGAGGCGCGCAAAGAAGGACGATGGCGGCATGGACCCTCCTCCCTAAGTTGTCGATGCCGTCCCAGATTCCGTATTCTGTACTCCGTACTTGTCTTCCCCAAGACATACGGTGTTGCTCGTTTTCTTCCCACCTTTCCGCTCCTCGATTTGACAAAAGTCATCGTTATCTGAGCTAAATCTGTCGCCCTCGGCTCCACTAAGCGGGCTGTGCGACAACTTATTGCCTGTAGTGGTTCGTTGCGTTGCGTGGGATGGACGGATAGGCAAGAAAAGGAGACGTGGAATTCCTGGACATCCGGGATATCTCACCGAACCACACAAAGTGCGTCACTGATGGAATGCCAAAGTTTCTTGTCCACATTAGGCCCGACCCCTGGTCACGTCTGCCGATATCGAGCTGTTGCAACACGCATAGGCGCAGACGTTTAGCCAGCTGATGTTGTAGAGATACGTGAATACTAAACTACATTCGAGCCCATTACTCATTGCAGCTTCATACTCGCGGGTAAGTTCGTGGCGTGTCTTGCGCCCGGACGACGCGAAGTTCCAACACGCTATACCGTGGTCACACTTTGGACAGAAAGCAGCAGATTCATGAGACCACGATATGCCCGTTCCAAGGTGTCGCATAATACCATACCTTTCCCATGGGCCATCCATTGAACCCCTCCAACTCTTGCCCCAGTTTGTGTAACTCGTCCGCCTGCCATTGTCGACGCTTGGTCCAGGTGGCAGGTGTGCAGAAAAGTTCTAGCCTCATTTCCGACCACCAGGATCTCATTTCTACTTTCCTCAGTTCTGCGGGTTGCGGATTGGATGTTTGTAATTAGATGAAAATCGATAGGCCCGAGGTGCCAATTCTAGAAGCATTCACTTTCGCTTCCGAGTTTCTGCTTTGCAAAATGACACCGACCAGTCCGACACCGCCTCAGGTGGGCACCGACCTGTAATTAGTGAAGGTCCCAGGTTTGACAGGGCAATCAGTCGGCTCCCCTGGTTAAGCGAGGAGAAAGGGACCTGCCTTACATAATGACTGAGGTGAGAGATGCAGATTGGCACTGTGCCGTGGCCCGCACCTCTGAAAAATCGAACAAACCGAGGCGAGGTGTCAAGGTGTCTACGGAAAGACGGGACCCGGTAGTACAGGTAGTGAAGACCGACAGGCAGAGTCAGCCGCGGCCAGGTGCAAGAGGTCCGGCGCGTCGGTTTGGCGACACAAACGCGGTTATTCTTCGGCCGGCCGTTTTTTTGTGACGTCTGGTTTGCTGTGGGTACCCGACAAACAACCCTGCATACAATTTTTGATCAGAGGAAACGGCGGTCTCTTCCTGTTGATGCCGAACGACGTCGAGAGATACTGACCGTTGAGGTTTTATCCGTTCTCACTCAAGCACTCCGATCGCTGGATTTGAGCAAGTCTATCCGCCGGCGAGTTCCCAGCGGATCGGAATTAGGGTTTCTAGGTGCGACTGAGCATTGTCATCCTCAGGCAAATCGCGAATTCTCATGACCTTGGAGTTGTGATTCACATTCTCATTTGCCGGACACACGAATGCGAAATATTCCAACTTGGGAAAGACATCGCGTTTTCCCGGAGTATTTCAGCACGGCACCCACTCATTTGAACACCTGACCCCTCAAAGTAAGGCATTGGAGAGACGTCGAATTTTGTTACAGCGTGGTATATCTTACAGTACACCGCAGTCACTGAATTTTCACACGCCGCCATCAAGCGCTACATCATGGAGGCATCAGAGTCAGCAGCACAAGCCGTTCCGGTGCTTAGCACTGGGAACGATGCCAAGCGAGTATCGAAGAAGCGGTCGCTGGAAGACGTTGAGCAGGGAGATATGATGCCCAACGGATCACAATCTCATCGGGCCTCATCGCATGAGCCCGAGGCCAAGCGAGCGAGAACGGAGCAAATCGGTCAATCAGTCGAGCAGGATGTGTCAATGGACTCGGAAGGCGCCGATGAGGGCGAGCTGGAGGAAGACGGAGAGGTTCTACCTTCCGAACCCGAATCCGAAGACCAGAGGGTCGTCGCCGCAGGGAGTGGAGGAAACGCCGAATCTCGCACGCGTTCAAAGGCGTCTTCTTCGGGGGAAGAGTCAGATGCAGGCAGCAAACGGACGACCCGTTCAATGTCGGCGGCGGCGAGTGGCCCATCTCAAGTTGGATGGAATCAAGGCATCACGTCCCAGATCCGGACATCACTTGGAGGGCCCAAGACCAAGGCCGCACCGGTGCCGGCCAAGGTCTCTATTGCTGAGGAGGAAAGCGCGCCTGCTGCCACACCTGCATCCGATTCTCAAGAAGCATCTGCACCGACCGAGGCAGCCGAGCCAGCCCAACCTGCCCAACCGGCATCAAAGGAGCCCAAAATCTCTCGACAGCAGCGAAGAGCCGAAGCCGCCGCTCTCGAGAAAGAAAAGGCACAAAATGAAAAGAGTGCTTTCGTCTATGAGGGTATGACTTTCTTCCAACCCAACAAGAAGACGCTTTTGCAACCAAAGGGAAACAACCTAGGCAGTGGAGTGTGGAGATCCAAGTTTAAGAGCTGGGCCCAGTCATTCATCAGCCGCAACAGCGAGCAGGAGCAGCTGCTCACGCCCGAAATTCTCGTCGCCGCTCTGCAGGACTACATTGCGCACCGGGCGCAGTGGAATAAGAAGAGGCAGTCCCCGGCCGCCACCACCGAGTCACGCAAGCCCGAAACGAGGACTGACATGGCCTCCATCCTGGCGTCGGCTGTGAAGAAGCCTACACGCCAGCTAGGATCGGAAGAGTCGCCCCTGATCATCCACGACGACGAGGACGAGGTCGACGACGACATTCAAGAAGTATCACCTTCCGGTGCCAGACGGGAGTCCAGCGATCAACATTCGGCTACAACACCATCTCAAAACGACGTGGTGGAAGTGGTGGACGACGAGGACGAGGAGATGGAGGAAGAGCAAGGTGAGCCTGGACCGGCGATCATGACCGAGGAGGAGGACCTGGAGCAGCAGCGAAAGTACTTCCCTGGCCTGGCAGACACCGCCCAGATCTGCGTGTACTGCGCAACTCTCGGACACACCTCGATGGCTTGCCCCAACACTCGTTGCAAGTTCTGCGAACATACCGACCACTTTTCGTGGAACTGCCCTACACGCGAGAGGTGCACTAAGTGTCGCCAGCTCGGCCACGGCAAGACCCAGTGCAAGGAGAAACTCATTCATCTGGATGAGGAGGGTATGGAGTGTGCCCTATGTGGCTCCCAGGCTCATCAGGAGAACGAGTGCGAGAGAGTCTGGCGGTCATACAAGCCTCCGAGGATGATCAAGAAGGTTAAGCCGTTCCCCGCCTTCTGCGGCTTTTGCGGAAACGAGAGCCACTACTCTTCCGATTGTCATCTGAACCGTGACAGACCGAAAAGCGAAACGTGGACGCTCAAGAACAGACACCTCTACGTCGACAAGAACGCAACCGATGGCCCGATCAGCGACTTCGCTAGTCAGCCCCAGAACCCCAAGTTCGCCCCTCTCTCGATCAAGGGCTCTGCAGCCAAGCGAAACCACATCTTCTACCCCGATAGCGACGGGTCGGAGGAGGGCGAGTTCATCAGCCAGAAGGTGAAGCCGCGTGCTCCACTCGGCAACATCCAGATGTCGACCAACCTCCAGATCAACGCCGGCAACTTTGGACCACCACCGCAGACGCAGTCGAACGGGCGCGGTGGCCAGCAGCGAAATGGGTGGTCAGCGCAGCAGCCTCCCCTCCCTCCAGGACCTCCACCTCCAGGACCGCCACCACAGGGCTCGTACTCGCGAATGTCTAGAAGCCACAACAACCAGTCGCGCCAGCCGGCGAACGGTTTGCCCCCCAAGCCCCCAGCACCGCAGTCGCAGCAACACGGGCGAGCAGGACCGAATCCGCCGAAGAAGCAGAGGACAAGGAACCATTCCGGAAACTCCAATGCGGGAGCCGCGCAGCAGCAGCAGAACGGTGGGGGCTCGGCGGCATCGCGCCGAAGGGGCAAGAACAAACGCGGTGGGAAGCAAGGATGAGCGTTTGGAATGATTGGCCAGCGCGCGACGCCGTTGGAAAAAGGGGCGTACAGTACGCTGGATGAAATGGATGGGTGTGTGTCGCGCGACCGCGGGCGAAGAAGGTGGCGGTAGTGGTGGTGCGAAGTCACGGGAAGAGGCGAGGAACATCATGTACGACAAAAGTGTACGAGTTGCGACCAGAAACCTCGAAGCGAAATCGGAGGGAAGGAGACTCAGACAGCAGCGTGACGATGCGCGACGGAAATGCGCGACGACAGCCTTGCCTTTATGGTTGGGTGAACGACTATGGACGACACTGGCGCGGCGAGGGCGGAAGGGGGGTGGTGGTTAGCTTTACATTTTGCAAGCGGGAAGATGGAGTTGCGTCGGGCCAATCGTTGCGCATGCGCAAGTTGACGTGGACTGATTTCCTGCGCACAACAGTATTCCCTATCTCGGAAGTGGATCAGGGTCACTAGGTTGACCGGAAGCCGGGTGCGGGAGACAGACAGTAGGTGTTTTGGAGAGGACTCGGGATCAGTAGTTTTCTTAATGAACCCCCCGGTTATTCGCACAGAAAGCTGGTGGGTTAGAATTACTACTATTTTGCGTTTTATAAATTTTCGTCGTCGGACCTGGTGTGTTTGACCGGCCTGTGGATGGATTTTACATCTGGATTTTGAATTTTTTTTTTCCATCACTTGAAGACATGGATTTCGAGTAGCCGAGACCGAAAAGTCTCGTTCTGGGAAACTAACAAGGGATCATGTCGATTTTTGACTCATTGCGAAATGCCACGACATTGGGAAATCATCCCTGGCTGGCCACTTTCGTGGCTGGGGGAAGAAAGATTGAATCATTGACGGTGAAGAGGCCGTGTCGTCTAGACGATGCTAACCTGCTCTTTACCGCAAGTTGTTTCGGCATGGGATGGACATAGTCAAGGGTTAGAGGAAAGCGATAGGACAGTTTCCGCGCGGCTTGGGGGGGGGGGGGGGGGGGGGGGGGGTCAAGAGGTGTGTGTACTTGGTGGTGTGGGGGTGGGGGGTGGTGGAGGGGGAGAGGAGGGGGGGGGGGGGGGGGGGGGGGGGGGGGGGGGGGGGGGGGGGGGGGGGGGGGGGGGGGGGGGGGTGGTGTAAGAAGAAAAAGGGACAAAAAAAAAGAGGATATCGTGGTCTTCTTGTTCCCCGGGGGCGTGTCTATTTTGTTCGTTTTGATGTATGTCGGTAACTTGGTTGAACATGGACGGCGCTTAGGCTTGGTGTGTTAGTCACAATGTCGACCACGTCGTGGGCATTGCCTTGGTTTTTGCACCCTTGGGAAACGCTTGGGCTTCAATATAAAAAATTTGTCGTGGACTTGTTGTGTGGACGGACGAGGGTTTTTGACGATTTGTCGGTGTGTGTGCGTGTGTGGTGTGTAAGTGCGTCGTTGCGAACTTGCGGTGCGGTCAGTGTCTGGGGGCTGGGTTAAAGTTGTGGATATGATTTTTTCTTCTTCCTTTTGTTTGAATGTTTGGTTCGTGATGCATGGGTATTTTTTGATGCAGTGGTTTGGTGGATTTTCATAGTGGATATAAGACTAGGAGTTGGGAGACCGGGGATGTTGGGTAGGGGTTATTGGTCTCGGGAGGAAAACGTGGGTTGTGGGTTTTTGATGACGATGGCCTAGTCATTTGGGTATTTGGGCTCTCGAGTCTTGGGTCTTGGGTCTAAGGTCTTGGAAATGTGAGACCGGGTTGTGTTGACGATGGACACCGTGGACCACAGGCCCTCATGGGTTTTGGGAAGAGAAGAGTTCTGTCGCAAAGTTGTGGGATATGTGTTTGGTTCACCGGCGTCGATGGACTCGTTTTGCGATGCTCCGGGACGGCGGGATTGACCAGGAGATGTGCATGACGTGGCTCCAAGGGTCTCTGCTGTCCCTGTCTCTCTTTTACCGCTGGGCTTGGCTGTACCCCTGGTCTGATGATGGATGTAGTACGGATAGACATGGGGAGTTTTGAAAGTTCTTGAGTTGAGAGAAAAAAAAGCTTGTGGTTTGTCGGCCGGCATGGCATATGGGATTGGTACTGGGTGTGCGGTTCAATGGTAATGAGACCGGTAGCGAAGGGAGGGTGTGGTTTTTTTGATAATGGGGACGATGCAGTCGTGATGTGGACACCAGGTGACGATCAACCAGGGTTGAATTTTTATGGTCTCATGGGTTGTGGTTGTCGGTGTACGTACGGACGGAGTACTGGGGTTGCCTTTAATTATGGGTGATGGGTGAATGGGTGAATGGGTGATGGTAGTCTCCAAGGGTTGTCTGTGACTGTGACGGACGGTGTGATGCAAAGTGCTGTGATGCATGGGAGTTGCAAAGGGGAAAGAACAAACGATGCGTTGAGAAGAGTCGAAGCTTCTCAGGGCGGGTTGTTTTGCTGTGCTGTGCTGTGTTGTCCGTTTTGGGGGGAGTATGTTGACTAAAGTACTAAGTTAGGTTGATGTACGGAGTATGCATACACGTAGACTTAGACTTAGACTTGAAGTTGACAAGAGAGATCATGGGACGGATTGTATGCAGGTCAGTGACATTTTGTGGCGGGAGTCTGAGAGATGCAGGAAGAGGACCCGGACCCTTGCGCTGTTGCTCAGACCAGACCGTTGACGCGGGCTTGGGATCATGAGGGAGCTGTTTCGAAGAGACTCTACGTAATTAGTAAGGTACCCCGAGTTCTTGAGCTTGAGTTGTGGTCTGCAGTCTGTGGTCTGTATCTTTGTTGTGGGTGCTGGTAGTGGTGGTGGTGTTCCGACCTGTAGTTATGTCAGCCCCATTTTGTTCTATGGTAAAGAGGTCGATTTGGGGGAATGGTTGTGTGCTTCAATCTGGAGACAGCCGAGCCAATTCAAGAGTGCCTTGCCGGCCTGTGGACGAATTGCTGTGGAGTCGTTGGATACTGCATGAGCCATGAGCCACGAGAAGGCCGGCCGGGTGGCCGGGCTACGTCAACCTCCAACCTGGAATTGGAGTTTCGTGGGAAGCGTCTGGCAGAAGGAAAGGATGGGATGCGCCGGTTGATGTCCGAACCCGCAAATGCGCAAACGAATTGTGGGGGTTTTGCATGGGTCGCCGAGTGGACAGACGAACCTTTTGGACGACGTCTCTCACCGCGTGGGATTCGTTCGGTTCTTTCAGTTGTTCCTAGGATAAAAGACTAAGGTGATTGGTCAGACTTCAAGCTGGCGACGGTTTCCCGTCTGATCCGCGGTTGATTCGCGGACGAGAGCATTTGCGCGACGGACCTCACTGGTCAATGGGCGAACGTATGCAGAATGCGGTGGATCGTTGAGAGAGAGAAGAGTCATAACTCTCATCCATCGGCCGTGGCATGCATGGGGGTGTGGTCGAGGGTAGGAGCGGACGACGACGCTAGGTACTGTATCCGCAGACGTACTGCAGCAGCGGAAGTGGACTATGCGCGGCAAGTCAACACCCTTGAACCTGCCTTGCCTATGCCTATGCTTCTGGCTTCTCTTGCAGTCTTGCTGAGCTGGAACTTTGCCGTTCGTGCGTCCATGTCCGGAAAACCGTACATTTGCCAAGGGGAGACTTACATGGGATAGACGAGGGGTTTTTGGCCACAGCCCTAGCCTCGCACGTCGTCGCCCTGTGTTTCGCGAAAATGGAGGTATGGCTGGCACGGCTGGCTGTTGGATGGATGGTGTGGCGTGGTGTACACTGTAAGGTAGGTTGCCAGCCGAGTGGTGATTAATGTTGTCTTTCACGGGCGAAGGCGGTGGTAGCATCTGGTCGACGGTTTCAAACAAGACTCAGATCATTATGCCACAATGCTGATCAGGTCACCAGAGGTCGGTTCTCCCATCTTTCGAGGGCGAAAGCGAGAGCGGGAAGGCTTCAACACCAAGCCTCAAGATCGAGACTGTGGACGAACCACGGCAAGAGGGGACCCTTCGTTCCTTTCGAAGTTGATGCATCTTCCATGCTAGCGGGCTCCCTCCTCAGACTACCACGCTACCAGGCCAGGATAGATATATCGCCACGCGGAGGGGAAGCCGAAAACATTGAGTAAGAGGGCTCGAAGGAAACGCCGGACTCTCGAACACATCCTCCACCATACCCATGATCATCAAAAGATCCACCCAGCAGGCAAGACACTGGGAAGCGAATCCACGGAACCGAAAGGTCGTCCAGTCAGTCAAAGTGGAAACATCAGACGGGGGGGATCTGCCTCTGTCAAATGCCACAGACACTGTCACACAGGTAGTGTAAAGGTAAGATAGTGTGTGGTCAGCGCTTAGACTTATAACACCCAGCACGAAACGACTGGTCGTCGACGATAGACGCGCTCCCGTAGCTCCCGTCCACCTCCCCAGGCACAAACGCGTACCTTTCGCGTCTCTGGCGAATCACAGCGAGGCTTGTCGTCGGCTGCATGACCAGCCTCCAGGGTTTGGGACCAATGGGGTGTCATGTTGACGGACGTTTGACGTGCCGGTGGAGTTTTTGACCTCAGAGAGTGGAGACATGGCCCGTGAGATCCAGATAGACTTAGAGTTTTGGCGTGGGATAGAGTTCTTATCGATAGCGCTTCTCCCACAATACCTTAAGGTAGCCTTTACCTTTTTGGCTTTTGCAGAGAAACGAAAGAAAAGACCACCCATGACATGCAAGCTCCTGCTGCTGCGCCCGGGGCTGGCTCGGACGATGGGGCCGGCGACTGGGAACCGGGAATGGGAATATCCAGTCATGGGTACGATAGTAACACCGGACAGGACAGGCCCAGAAAGCCACACAGATCAAAAAGACCACCAAGAGAACCAGCAGGTATCCTGCCATGACCTGCAAAGGCCCGCACCAGATAGACACAAGGCAGTCTCATCCTCGGGACGCTCTCAACCACTGGCACGACTTGAAACAAAGTCCTTGGCGGTCGGGGGATACCCTCAGAACTCAGGAGAGAGAGAGAGAGGGCTTCTGCTCTGCTTGCGTTTCTGCATTTCTCTGCAGAGCTAATGCAACTCCCTTGCCCTCATGGCCTCTCTTTGGACTCTTTTCTTACTAGAGGTACCAAGCCCAGATGGCATATTCGTCTCGTCTCCATCTCTCATCCTGCTACCTTGGACCAACGTGGTCGTCCCGCGCGAAGAGTGACAAACGCACAACCAATCACACGACCGCAACACGTCGCCAACTCGCCATTTCTGGACACTCTTCCTACAAAACCTTGAACCGCATCGGGTGTGTGTGGTGGTGTTGGTGGTGGTGGTGGTGTGGCACGAGCTTCACACGCTTAGCACACGTCCCCCGAATCCACAACCACAACCAGCATCCACGCCCACACCTTTTCTCGAATTCCCCATCTTTACCATGGTAGGGACGTGTCTCCCATCCCGCGCGCCCGGGGTCCATGTCTCTCTCCTTCTGGTAAGTCCACAACGTCTCCATACTGCGTACACAACAACCGCGTGGAACCTCCATGGGAACTGGTAAAAAAAGAGAGGCTACACTAGTCTTGCATATGCAGGTCTCGACAGAGGTGACTCACCCGCCAGTCGTTCCCACCGAGGAGCTACGGGACGATGCGGCCAAGGGGTGGGGTTTTTTTGAGCGAGGGGAGGAGGCTGGCTCCGCCGGTTTCCATTCAATCTTTTTTTTCGCATGTGTAGGTGTAGCTGTAGCTTAGGTGTATGGAGTACATTTTCAAACCTTGCTCGATGGGATATCCAGCAAAAAAAGACTGAAAATAGTGTGTGTGGTGCTCTCGCAATCAGTCCCCCCCATGTAAGTGAGAAGAGGGAGAGAGTATATTTGCCTCACCCTCCCGCCACCCAGATTTCGTTTGGCCTGATTTTCGAGACCTGCTTTTCCTCCATCTTTCATTGTTTCCAATCTTGATATCCTCCCGTCTTCACTTTTTTCATAAGACGACGACGACAGCTCATACATATAACCTTGGCTTATATACCGAGGTATCATCCTAAACTGGTATTACTGTGAGAAAAGAGGTTGTGAATAGCCTCATTGGCCCATTTGAAGAAAGAGAATCTGTTTCAGAAAAAGAAAAGAGAAGAAAGAAAGAAGACCGATTCTTGATATACTCCCCATCATCCAGTCTCTCGAAAAGAATCGTACTGCTCGACCTACCTACCTCACCTTACCTGATACCCACCATACAAATACTTTCGGTGTTGAACCAAAGTCCGGACTCCATTTGCTTTGGTATATCCCACAACCAACATCACACCTCCCAACACCATCCACCAACATCGACTTGTCGAGTAACCAACACCCCCAGCCTGGAGTCCACAACGACATGAGAAGACAATGGCCGCCCACCAGACCCCGTTCTACTGCCTCTGGCAGAAGGAACACGCCCACCTAGGCGCCGCAGTCCTCGACCTCCTCCCAAAGCGCGACATCGCCGCCCTCCGCCTCGCAAGTCCAGCCTGCTGCAACATCGCCACGAAACCCCTCTTCAAGCGCGTCCGCGTCACGTTCTCCGCAAACACCTTTACCAAGCAATCCCGCATCCAGGCCCTCGCCCGCGTAGGCCACCACATCGAACACCTCCACTTCCACTTCGCCCACACGGACGCGACCTTTCTCCCGCCCCTGGTGCACCCGACCACCGGCCGCGAGATCTCCTTCCTCTACACCCCGCACACGAGCATGGCCTCCGTCCTCGCCAGGCCGAAATACGCAAACACGGAGCTCGGCGAGATCCTCACGCAGCAGTACCCGCCCCTCTTCCACGCCGCCACAAACGTCCCCAGCTTCATCAACGCCCTGCGCTTCCTCACAAACATCCGCCACCTCACCATCCGCTGCCCGGGCCAGGACCCGCAGGAGCGCTACCGCCGCGACATTGTCGACTACGCCATCATGTCCCTCCGCATCGCCGTCGAGCGCGCGCCCCTCGAACGCCTCGAGAAGCTCTCCCTGTCCGGCATGCACCCCTCCTCCTTCAACTACCTCCGCCACGTCCCCGGCTTCGGCGCCGTTCCCTCCGCGGGCCGCCGCTGGAAGCAGATCCGCAAGCTCAACATCTCCGTCGAGGCCTGGGACTTTTACGGGCCCTCGCCGGGACTGGACCACCTCAAGATCATGGACGACTACATCCGCCAGTTTTCCGGCACCCTCGAGAAGCTTCACTTCACCTGGCTCGGCCCCAAGGGCCCTTGCCCCATCGCCCTCTCCGCGGACCCCCTTTTCGCGCCGCCCAAACACAGCAAGAAGCTCTTCGCGGAGGTGACGTCGCCCATGTCGCCCTTGCCGCCGGCGCCGGCCCGGAAGCCGATGCACTTCCCCCGCCTGCGGTACATGCAGGTCCGCAACGCCACCATGACGGCCGCCCAGCTCTCCGACCTGGTCGACGCGCACCAAAAGACAGTAAAGGAGTTCGACTTTGACAATGTCGTGCTCATCAACGGCGGCGACTGGGACGAGGCCCTCGCGCCGCTCATGGAGAAAAACCACCCATCATCATCGTCGTCGTCATCCGGCCATGGCCACGGCAGCGGCAGCGAAATCTGGTCCCAGCACTCGCGGAGCAACTCCGAGGCCGGTAGCTTGCACTCGGACCCGGAGCCGTACCACGATGATGACCTACCATCGCCGTCCGCCGCGGCGGCCGCTGCCACTCGAGAACTACTCGACTTTGACATCGGCAGCGAATTATACGTTGACGAAGAACTATTCGATCCATATGACGGCCTCGACGAGGATCTGGCTTCAGACCTCGCGGCCGCGAAGGAGGCCAGCACCTCCTTCAGTACAGTACTAAAGAAGAAGCGTGTCCACCGGCGCAGAAAGCACCGCAAGGACGACGGCGACAAGAACAACAACAAGGAGAGTAGCAGCTCAAAGGAGAGCCCATCGCGGCACCACAGAAGCCGCAAACACAAACATCACAGGGAGCAACCATCCGTCCCAGAAGAGGACGACGTCTTCCGCCCTTCGACTCCGGTGCCCATTATCACGGCGCCGATTCAGGACATGTCCCCGCACCCGGTTCTGCTTCAGCCGGCCGTGTACGACCCGAACGCTAGCCGGCTTTCAGACCCCAACGATGGCATCTCTTCGGTGCAGCGCAACATTGAACAAGAGGAGGCGCACCGCTTGCTGGCCGAGGACGCGGCGATGCGGGTCAGCGCGCTCCGCAAGGCTAAGGCGGCGGTGCTGATGAAGCTCTCGAGGGAGTTTAACCACCGCAAGGGTTCGCCAGCACCAGCGGCGAACAAGGACAGCTGCGGACTGCAGATGCGGTTGAGAGAAGGGCTCTTTGGAAGGAGCTTCGTGAGCGTGCTACCAGACGATCGGTCCATGTCGAGCCAGTCGGCGCTGGTGCCGCTAATGTTTACGAGATCATGATCATGTATGCCCCAGACACACGATTCTGTATATCTGTTATGTAAGTCGGGAACACAAACACAGCACTGTGTATCCTCTTGTACGGACGGAACTTGGTTGGTCGGAAGGATATGGCGGGAAAACATGCCGGATATTGGCCTGGATAGGCCGGCGGCGACGACAGGAGGCATTATGACTTTTGTAATGACTTGACGATACACTACTTTTCTTTCACTGTCAATTTTTCAAAAAGATAACAACATTTCAAACAAATCTTCCCTGCATTCGATTCGTGCGTATGCTGCAGATGGAGCTCGTGATCGTCTCCATCGGAAAATGTTTCAACACCGTGAATCGCGGATGGGGCGGATGGATAAACAAAGCCGAGAGACGGGACCGAGGTGCGGAGACGGCGAATCAAGAGAGCAGCTCCGTGGCTCGGCGAGACTGGTTGAACGCGTTCGGTGAGAGAGTAGCGCCCGGCGGGCAGACCGGGAAGAACCCAGCTGTGCTTTCGCTGGCTGGGCGCAGAGGTGGAGTAAATAACGGGACAGCGCGTGGTGGGTGGTAGGTGGCGGGCTGGGATTGAGATGTGAGATCTCGCTGTTCTGCTGCTGCTTTCAGACCATGTCCTTGTAGCGAAGCATAACACTGGTGCGGCGTGGTAGGGTCAGCCGACGGGTAGGGCAGTCTGGACTCTGTGGGTGGATAATATGGTCGTGAGACAGACGGTGAAAGCCTGTCTGTTACTCGTCCGCAAGACAGTGCCGCTGTGGCGGTTATGGCGATGTCGATGTGGACGTGTCTTCACGATGGGCGACACTGCGGCAGCTACCAGCAGCAGGCAGCCAGCGGCCCGGGCTTTATGAATCCACTGGCCCAGAAGTGGCAGCGCAGATGAGCTGACGCGGGCTCAAAGAAGAGCAGAAGCAAGCTGGCGGACGAGTTCGATGGTTTAGGGTTAGAGGGGTCTCCGTAAGGTCATTAAAGCCACGAGGGCCGCTTTCATCCAAGGCGTTGCAGAAGCAGCTTATCCCACAGCGTAGCCTCATCTCCGGGACATTTCTAGCATCTGGCGGGGGGGTCGGCGGCGATTCCTAGGGCAGCACTGGAGGTGGGAAAGCTAGCTCGTGTTGCGATGGTCAAGGGAGCCAGATTTGCCAGGGAATGAGGAACGTTGGAACTTGGACGGGGATGGGAAGGGTAATGTGCAGGGGTAGGGGGGAAGGGGGCAGCGAGATTAGAGATCAGGAGCAGACGGTATTTCTTCAGCGTGGGATTTTGAGGAAGAGAAGAGCTTAGTACCTGTTGGAACGGATGCATACTCCGTGAGTCCATACAGAAGAATGGAAAGGATGTGGAGGGAGTGAATACCTAGCTGCTCTGTACTGTATTTAGCTGTATCCGTACCTTTTGTTGGAGCAACTCAACCTCGATTGCCCGCCGGAATGAGATCGCTGGGAATGCCCGGATGAGGTGCGCACTGCAGGCTGGCACGGCTGGGAAGAAAAGGGCATTGCGTTGGCTGCATCCAGAAATGTTCTGTCCTCAGTGCTGTATCCGTATGGAGTATTCGTAGTTAGCACGTTGTATACGGATATCGGTAGGTGGTATTCGTAGAAAGTGGCGATTGACAAGCTGGCAGTACCCGTATGCTGGGCAGAATGGTTGGACGGATGGGATCCGATGAATATCCCTCGTGTCCCTCCGTTGTTTGAGAGTGATGTGAGTGTGTTGTTGTTCCATTGCGCATGTCAGCGTGAATCGGCGATGAGAGGCAGCCCCCCGGAGCAATGGGGGCGATGGGGGCGAAGGGGGGGCAGAAGAAAAGAAGAAGAGAAGCATCCAGTCAGGCATTGTTCCCCCGGGTGCGCGTGTTGCCCCGTGTTGCTCGCTCCATTGCTTGCGCCTTGAGGTGCCCTGGTGTGGTCCATCATGCATGCCCATGGGCAGAAATGGGTGAATGGGCGAAAATGTTGCAAATGCCAAAAGCTGGGAATGGCATAGTCAGGGCCTAGACTGTCCGTGGACCGCTCGACTTTACCGGTCGGGACTTGGGAAGAGAGAGGCACCCATGCACCCATGGCCCAAGGTGGACAGGGGAGCGGGGATTGGACGAGGGGGGTCCCCAGTCGGAAGCGACGAATTGACTTCCTGGCCGTGGTCCATCGTTGATCGATGCGGGAGACACTCACGACATTTCATCTGCGGAAGCACTGAGAAGGTACTTGCGAGAGACTTGCACTGCTCCTTCCCGAGATCTTTCACCTTCCTCGACTGTCTACAACTCACCCAGGTGCACTTTCCTCCAAAACACTCAATGTATTTCATGCCCGTCTCGCCCAATCCAAACAGCCACCTTACCTTTCCGAGCTACCTCACCCAAGTTCACTTACCTAAGGCACCCTTTATACTTGTATCCCGTACGAACAGCTACCGCAGCCAAGCCTCCACTCCCCAAGTTATGTGCTTATGCGCAGACGTACGCAAGCTGGGCCACCACTTTTCTTCTCCCCATATTCGGGTGCCATGCCTGGGCGATTTGACGATCTCGCGGGGAAGCACGCGGAATGAGGTGCTTTTTTGCTTCGAGTCTGCTGTGCACCATTCCACGGCATTTTTGTACTTGAAGCTCTCTCTTCCACTTATCTTGCTTCCGTGTCACCGATAAACGACACGCTCTTCCAGGTTCTTCAGCAATCACTTGATCCGACAGTCTTAGCCAAGATGAACGATGCTGAATCAACGAGACAGATGACAAAAGAGGCCCTACAATAGATCCCAGTAAACATTTCTCTCAGCGCAAGAGCCGTGCTCGCCATCTGTAGCCCCAAATAGCAGCCGTGGCGCAGAAATAGTGCCGTGTTGCCCGTTGCCACCCACGTATTCACCACCAGCGCTACCAAGACTCAGGAGAAGTGCAAAATCGGCCCATGTTTCCATCAAACTCTCTCCCACCGCCCGCACCAACGACGAGAGTTGCCAGCAGTTGGATGGCCTAGCAAGCCCGTTATTCCCCAAGCCTCGCCCTTGAGAGACACTACCGAGATAGCGTCTTCCACACGTGTGTGATGTTCCGCGCTAATCTAGGATACCCAGAATACGGGTAGCTTCTGCGCTTTTGCGGCTCGCCTTCAGCTGTCTCTGCGCGACGGTCTCGTCTCCAACAAGACGCGAGCATGGCAACTGTAGCACGACACGGTAGCTCCCTCGAGGTGCTTTCGTTAGTGGCTCCCCGTGAGGTGGTCTCCCCTATGAAAGTTGCCCTTCAGCCTTCTCTCGTCCTTCATCATCATCAGTCTCATCGTTACACAGATGACAGACAGATCCCGTCCTCAGGCCCGCCCGTTGCAACTTTCCCGTCCATCCGCAGAGCTTCTTCCTCTTTGCATCCACGCAGCCGGGCTTGTAAATGTCTCGTTTCGTTTTGGATGCTGTGTGGTGTCTTGGTAATTTCGCGAAGCGCTTTTCGTCCATCCTCTTCGTGGACATATCCCGTTGGGTCGTAGCCAAGGAAAGGTACCTTTTTGGTGTCAACCCTGCTGAGAAATACCTATCTTTAGCTTACCTTCCTAGCTGGCAGCAAATAGGCAAGGTAGGTATCTCTCCTCTCCGCTCTGTTACGCTAAACCCAGGCGAGGTACCTCGTAAGTACTCCCCCAATTCGCACCTGCACCTCAGTCTCTGAATATACAACAGGGCACTCCACTGCGACTCCAACGTACTTCGTACCTACCCTGAACCTGATCCTAGCAGCTCGACATCCCAGCTCCTTCCGCGGCTCCACCTCCAGCGGCCGGTCTTCTTTCTGCTCGCCCTTCTCAGCCCATTCCATTCCACTCAGTCACCCTCCGCTACAACCGACACCAAGACAATCCCTCGTCTGTCGGCCAAACTATTCTCTCTTGTGACGAATCTTCCAATCCAATTTTTGTTCTGTCCTCCACGCTCATTTCGACTGTCGGCGCATTTTGGCTCCCCTCAATCCCACAGCCATTCTCGCCTATCAAACCCCCCGAGTACCGTTTGCAAGTCACCGCAAATCCCTGCTGCTGCCGACGAAAAGCAAAACGAAACGCATCTTTGGGGAAATTGCGGATACCCAGTCAACCGCCGCGACTTTTCCTCCTGGGCGACCGCGTGCCAAGCAACTCTTCGAGGAAGACTTGACACCAGCCAAGTCTGTCCCACGACAACACCACCGCAACGCATCGAAAGTAGGATCCCGATAATCACCATAGCAGACGATGAAGGCCGCCCAGACACTGCCAGACTCCTCGTTATAGTCTGTTCAAAATGGGCGTCAGGGTCGCCATTCGAGAACAGCTCGCCTTCCTTGTGGTGATTGCTGTTCTCGTTGCTTTAATGATCCTCTCCGTCCCCGTCTGGATCTACGTCAATCAGTTTGTCACCCAGGTTGAAGGGCGCGAACTCGCCCTTACTGCTTCGCTCAAGGCCTCACGCATTTCTGCCGAGCTCGAACTCGTCCAGACAAGCATCATCACCATTTCTTCCCGAATCCTGATTCAGAATTCCTTGTTCACCTTCTACGATGGAAACACCACAGACGGAAATTGGGCTCAAGCCAGAGGCGATCTCAACAGTGCGCTCAGCGTCGGCGGTCTCACGGGTCTATTGCAAGGGAGAATCTATTCGCGGAACATCACTGGCAACGGCTATGGTCTACTCAACGTTACTGGAGAAAAGGTTCCTGAAATCGCTTTGCCATATCCTGGCGCCAATGGCTCCAAAATTTTCCTTTCCGATACCGCCGAGGGCTACCCGCCAGCCCTCTACCCGAACATTACCTACGAAGATCTAGGCCGTCAGAATCAGTATAGGAACAATACTCGGGCTTATGCAGCCAACGCGTTCGACGGAGTTAGGATTTCCACAAATGGTGGTCTGCTACTTGGCCCTTTGATTCTCAATGAGACGACTGCCCTCATCTCCATAACCGTGCCGATTCGCTACAACCAACAGCAGGAATTCATTTTAGGGTACATGACGCTTGTCGCCACGGCGAATTCTCTTATCAACATCCGCAATTCTCGTGAGGGTTTAGGAGATACTGGACTGGTGCTGCTCGTCGGGCCTACTGAGAAGTCGAACAGGTTCAATTCCAGTAATGCGGTCAGCAACAGTACCTACAAACCACCTACTGACGCACTCAATAACGTGCCGGTGAACTTTGTCCTTCCACCCAACCCTCTATCTGGGCAGGGTGACCGGCACGATGAGAGAAGCTGGTCAGCGGGCAAGGACGACGACCCTTTCCCAATGAAGGATTATCCGGCAGTTCTCGCCTCCTTTAGCAAGCAGATCGCGGCACCGAACAACTCAAGCTCGATGCTTTCTACGAACAACGAACAGGGTCTTCCGGTGGCTGTGGGTTTTGCAAGAACCAACACCGCACTCGTTAACTGGACTGTGGTCGTGGAACAAGCCAAGTCAGAGGCCGACGCTCCTATTGAGACATTGCGGAATATTATTCTGGGATGCGTTTTCGGCACCGCAGGCCTCATCATAATCCTCATCTTTCCTTGCGCGCATCTTAGCGTGATGCCCATCAGGAGACTCAAGTCGGCGACGGAGAAATCGATCCAGCCACCGGGATATGAGGATGGATATTATTCCGAATTCGACGGCGACGAAACTCCTGGATCGGGCGGAATTTCATCACGAACACAACGTTCTAAAAAGGATGGCATCATCACCAGTATCTTCAAGCTGGTAGGGTACAAGCCCAAGGAGAAACCCGCCTCAGAGCACGATCGCGATTCGACCCGACGCATTTTCAAAATCCCCGGCAAGGTCACTGACCGGAAACATTTCATCACCGACGAATTGACCGAGCTGACGGAGACCTTTAACGATATGAGTGACGAGCTGGTCAAACAGTACCTTTCCCTGGATCAAAAAGTCTTGGAACGGACCCGTGAACTTGAAATCAGCAAGAAAGCTGCCGAAGCCGCCAACGAAAGCAAGACGCTCTTCATCGCAAACATTTCACACGAATTGAAGACACCCCTTAATGGTATCCTTGGCATGTGTGCCGTGTGTATGGAGGAGAGCGATATTCTCAGGATAAAGCAGTCGCTCAAGACACTTTACAAGTCAGGTAAATGCGATCTGGCTTGCTCGTCGCTCTGTACCTTGCTAACCACTTTTAGGCGACTTGCTACTCCATTTACTCGAGGATCTCCTCAGCTTTTCCAAGAACCAGATTGGGCAACAACTGAATCTGGAAGAGAAGGAATTCCGCCTTGCCGACATTAGATCTCAAATCTTGACCATCTTTGACAAACAAGTCAAAGAAGGCCGAATTACCTTGACTGTTAACTTCCTCGGCTCTGAAGCGATCGAACTGAGCAGTAGCCCGGAAAGAACCAGCACCGACAACAGACTACCGGCTCTTGGACCGCATGGAACCGGTAGACTGAAGGATATGTGTCTATGGGGTGACCAGCATCGCATTCTCCAGGTCATCATCAACCTAGTCAGCAACAGTGTCAAGTTTACGCCAGCAGGCGGCCGGGTTGATGTCCGCATCAAGTGTATCGGCGAGGTGGAAACTCCACCAGCAAATGATGGCAGTCGGTCGTCATCGTTCTCGAGGGAATCTAGACGACAGGGCAGAGGCCGACACCGAACGAACAACAGCTCGAATCCATCTGTGAGCTCTAGGGGAGGCTCGACTTCTGAACCCGTCAAGGGCACTGCTTTAAGCATTAACCCGATGGAGCCCAAGTCAACACCTCACATTCAGGTTCGGGAGCGATCTCCTACGCCGCCACCACCTGGTGCAAAGGCCTTTATATTCGAGTTCGAAGTGGAAGACACTGGCCCGGGTATTGCTGAACACATGCAGCAGAAGGTCTTTGAACCCTTTGTTCAAGGCGACCTAGGGTTGAGCAAGAAGTTTGGCGGAACAGGCCTGGGATTGAGTATCTGCCACCAACTTGCAAGTCTGATGGGTGGATCTATTTCGCTGAAAAGCACTGTCGGGGTTGGCACCACGTTCACTATGCAAATTCCCTTGAAATATGTCAAGGACAGGTATGTCTAGATGATTGTGAAGCAATGCGGCTCATGTACTGACGAGATCTTACAGGGCCTCCAGCACCGCTTCTAGCAGCATCAAGTCTCGGCCTCCAAGTGTCGATGCCATCGAAGGCATCGACAGTGTTCAAAACGCGAAGCGCAACTCCGGCGGGGCCCCCGTCAGCCCACCTATCAAGCCAGCCGGAGAAACAACTGCAAAGAACCTACTTGATCAACAACCAAGACTAGTCGGCCTCAGCCAGCCTTTCTTCGCGTCGAACCCAGCGCCTAAAGCCAAGCGGAACACAAAACAGCAGCAAATGGCAGCCATCGATCGGGCAATGGCTACAAAGGCCAATAAGGAAGGAAAGCTACGGGTGCTCGTTGCGGACGACAATTCGACAAATATTGAGGTTGTCAGCAAAATGTTGAAGCTTGAGGACGTCTACGATGTCACCATCGCCAAGGACGGCCAGGAAGCGTACGACCTAGTCAAGGCGAATATGGATAAAAATCAAGGATTCGACGTAATCTTTATGGACATTCAGATGCCCAATCTCGATGGCCTGCAATCGACAAAACTCATCCGCAAGATGGGTTACAAAGCTCCTATCGTGGCATTGACCGCCTTCTCAGAAGAAAGCAACGTCAAAGAATGCATGGAGAGTGGCATGGACGAGTTCCTGAGTAAGCCCATTAGACGGCCTGCGCTGAAGCAGGTCCTCAAGAAGTTTGCGACGATTCCGGAAGAGCCCGAAACAGCGAGCTTGTCAAGGAAAACGACACCAGAGAAGCCTACGACGACAAAGCCAGCAGCTGCTAACGGCAGTGGGCCAGCAGTTGCGCCGGAGATGAACGAGAAAGGGGATGCGATCCACCCGGTTGGGAATGGAGCCGCGGCTGCGCCCTCATCCGAACAACCCCTATCGGAGAAGGGGATATAATTGACGTTTAATGACTTTTCAGCAGCAGGCAGAGAAATACTCGGTTTTGAGACGCCTGACAGCACATGTTCGCATAGGATTCCCCCTTTTCCCTTCGTTTGGAAGCGACATACAAAAGTTGGCGTCAGGGCGTTGGTTTTTGTTTTTGATCTTTTCACATTCCCTTTTGTGTACGTATTCGTAATGACCCTGCTCGGTCTTCGAGGCACCGAAGTAGGGCTGCTCAGGCTAGGCTTGGGCATGTGTCAACATTCTCTTTTGGGAACGAAAACGGGTTGGGTTGGTACACTGTGACCAGGTAGTAGGGGTTTGGTCCCCTGAAGAAAGGGAGCGGGCATACATTCGTTGCTAGCAAGCATAGCGATACATCAGAGAGAGGAGGCAGCGACCCATACGGAGGGCTTTTTTTTTATTTCTTTTCAACTTGTCATATGGGCGGCGTTCCGGGCGTACACGAAGATATCCGGACACGCATAGGGCTTCCCCCCCCCCCAAAACACCAAGAACGGGGCATGGAACTCTGGGGAAGACAGGAAGGGTTGGCGAGCTAAACACGCACGCGGGTGAAAGAAGACACGACGGAAAAGACACCAAGAGCAGAGCAGCGCAGCACAGAGAAGAGGAGAGAGAAAGAGAAACTCGGAGCGAGAAGAGGGACAGAGCTGTTGGACATGGGTACATTTTCATGTCGAGTAATGCCGATGACTATCTTGCTTTATCGATTAGTCTTCTAGTATCACAAAGTCGTTGTAACATCCTCTGATTATCTGTTACTCAACTTGCGGTGATTGCATCTTCATGCGGACGTCAATATTTGATGTGAATCTATAATGCAACATGAATAACAACCTTCGATACTGGGAGACACTGGTGCCAGGCATGAGAAACCTGCTCAATCGAATCTGATTAGCCTTGCCCATAGAGACATTCACAGTCACACGAGATTGATGTGGTTGTGCTCATGAACATTGCATTGGTTCTATGTATCTCCATCTACCGAGAGACTGTACCAATCATCAATCACGAAGCAAGAGAGAAATCTATCAACCGTTCCTTCCATCGAAAACCTTGTCGTCTGCCGTGACAGCGACGAAATGCCGTGACCTCAACGCCAAATAGAGAATCACCATACCAATCCCTTTGCGATTGCGTTTTTAAGGACGCATTTACCAACCGCTAGCGCCAGTGTCCTCGGTAGACCCACCGCCGGTGCCCCAAGCATCACCGGTATCGGTGTTGGCGGGGGCGGCGTTGGAGGCGCCGAAGTCATCAATGTCCTCCTTGGGAGGGTTGGGGCACTTGAAACTCTTGTGGCCCATCTCGCCGCAGTTGTTGCACTTGATGCGGGTGACTGTTAAGGAACATTGTGTCAGGGTCATGCAGTCAACGAGGCTAGTTGGGCAACTTACTGTCAACGGGCTTCTCGCAATCCTTGGAGAGATGACCCTCCTCATCGCAGTTGCGGCACTTGATCTTGCGAGGCTCAGGGCACTCCCGGGAGACGTGGCCCTCCTGGCCGCAGTTGTGGCATGCACGACCACCGCCACCACCCTGAGGGCAGTCTCGAGAGAAGTGGCCCACTGTAAATGATTAGCTTTTGTCTCTGAAGGAAGCTGAATGAAGGAAGCCTTCTTACTCTCGTGACACTTGTTGCACTCCACGTCATCGCCAGCCTTGCGAGGCTCAGTGCAATCGGAGACCTTGTGACCAGACTGGCTATAGAATATGTCAGTCATTTCGCATCAAGAACGGCGGCGAACTTGGCTGCTTACCCGCAGTTCTTGCAAGCGAACTTGTCAATGCGAGGAGTAGGACCTAGATCAGTTGGTCAGTGATGCAAACCATCGGGTGAAGCAGGCAGACTCACAATCGCGAACACGATGACCCTCTTCGCCGCAGTTGTAGCAGGCGATGGTCACGCGGGCCTTCTCCATGGGGTCTTGAGGGCACTCCTTGGAGTTGTGGCCAAGCTCGTTACAGTTGTTGCACTTCTGCATAAGACGGGAAACGGGCTCTCCAGCATCTTCAAGGCGGGCCAGGTTCTCCTCGGGGGAGGCAGGCCAGTTAGCCTTCTCGCGCTGGCGGTCAGGCTGCGCAGAAAAGCGGTACTGGACAGTGTACTTCTTGTCCAAGTTACCCTGGAGATCCATATTGGTGTGGGTGGGAGCCAAGACACGCTCAGTAGCGATGAGGTAGATGTTCATCTCCTGGGCGCGGAAAGCATTCTCCAGCTCGACATATCCCATCTCAGGGTAGTGCTTGAGGTACTTCTGGATGGACTCCTTGGCTTCAACGCCGTCGCGCTCCTGGATAGCCTCGTGGATCTCCTCCCAGGCCTTGTCAGCATCGACATCCTCAACCTTCGTGAAGTCGATCTTGCGACGGCTCTTGCAATCAACGGTCGCGTGGCCTGATAAAGTAACTATTAGTCCCAAGTCTCAATATTGCAAGATAGTGAACAACATACCCTCCTCACAACAGTTGCGGCAAAGATCAGGACCCTTGTTGGGGCACTCCTTGCGCATGTGACCCTCCTCGCCGCGGGTGCGGCAGGTCATGGCAGGAGCGGAGGGACAATCGCGGCGAGTGTGGCCCTGCTCACCGCAGGCGTTGCAAGTGCCATCGAAAGCCTTGCGAGGCTCGGTGCAATCAGCCTTGCTGTGACTACATCATCATGTGTGTCAGCGTGCGGAACTTCGGGTGTCGGTCAAATATGAAGCAATCACTCACCCAGTCTGGCCGCAGTTGAAGCAGGCACGATCGCCTCCATCGCCGCCGTCCCCGCCATCACCGCCCTTGGGGTTGCTCCAGGGGTCATCGTTGGGGATGCCATTGCCAGCGGAGGTATTGCCAGTGCCCCAAGCATCGTCAGTGGTGCCCCAAGGATCAGACATCTTGTTGTAATCGCTCGAGAAAGAATTGCTGGTTTGCTGAATCCTGAAGAGAATTGATTGACAGAGTCTGGACTGGTCCAACAAGTCAATCAAAAGAGACACTTCTAGACGAAGCGCAGGAAGAGTGGAAAAAGAAGGAAACAGGCAGGATTGTAGAGTAATGTAAAGCAATAATCTGAATTCTTCAGAAGAAGAAAAAAGAAGTGTTGACGTGAGTGGAAAACCCTCCAGAGAAAACGTGAGTATGGAAGGAGAAGGAAGGTACAGCTGAGCGAGGACTAGGCAACAAGTAGAAGGAGCACAAGACCCATACTGCCTTTTCTGGAAAAGTGATTCTCAGAATTGCCGTAGTCCAAAACCGCGAGAATTGACCGATGTAGAGCCTCGCTGTCTGAAGCTGCTCGGACAGCCAAAACTTGCGAGGAAGTCGGCATGGATCCAAATCGCGAATATTTGCTCGGACAGAGAAACAGCAAGATGAATTCAACAACGAAGAGAGATGGAACTTGACTTACGATATGTATCTCGGTGATTGATTTTGATATTGATGCGTACTGTAAAGCGGAAATGAAGTGGTTGTGTTGAAAGCTGATCGTAGTTGAATGAAGCCAACTCTGATAGTGAGATGGTGAAAAGAAAAAAGAAGAAGAGAAAATGAACAGGTTTGTGGAAAAAGCTTCAGGTTTAGCTCATGGAGAGGAAGCCACGATCTCCGCTTATGTCGTCGAGACCACCAATCCTATGCTCTCACGATGCGGGTTTCTTGTAGTCGTGAATGCCCGTAGCTGAGTTGAACTCACTTGAGGGCACCTACACAACAGACTGGCCACTATTCTAGCCTGAGCATGAGGCATCACCTGACTTGCAGCACAACTACTTATTTGAAAGGAGCCGGAAAACTTCGAGGTATACTTCAATCGGAAGGATTCTTTCGACCATGTTGTAAAGACACCCTTGAATAGCAAGTGAGGCGCTCTTTGCGAGAACTCCAGGCACCATTGTCTATGTCAAACTCTTGTCAAGACTTCGATCGCTTTCTATCAGGCTTGAGAGCTATGGTTCTGGGGCCGTTGCCCTCAATACAAAGATACCATGGCCCGAAATGCTCAGATCAATGTAGGTATCAATATGAAGCCTAAAAGCTTATCCTTAAGTAGGTCTTGGGCTCGATTATTAGCCTGATCTAAGCAAGACGGAGACAGCGTACCTGAGAATCATTTGCTTTACAGTTCAGTTGAACCAATTGCCTGAACCGTGTGCTGATCACTGTCTAAATATGGATCACTCGTACTGTTGTCACTGCCTTACCTCAGTACGCTGCCTTGTGGTAGCTGAGTCAAGCTCTCTCTTATGCGATGGGAAGACCGGGCCAGAGTTTTGCGAGATGACCTGGGGTGCTCTACGAGAGACTTTAAAATGCTACAGCCTAGAATGATCGTCAACCTATCTCGTTGTGAAAAGATAGCGGCCTGGTTTGCGACTAGTTAATCATAGCCTAGCACGGGTCACCATAAGCACGGAAAGAATCATCATTGGAACATTTCCTAGAGAAATCATTCAATTGTCAGCTTGTTGAACTTTGCTATACACGTTCCACCGTCGTAGAGACTGCGGGGAGTCATGTTCAAGACTGGCGCTACCTCGTAAATGTTTGTTACGACTCGGTCTAGGATGCGACCCAAGGTCTAGCGTGTTGGTTGGACTGAGACCACCGGTCGAAGATGCGCGAGGCATCACTTGATGCCACTATATGGATTTAAAACGGTAGTAGTGTTCTGATCTACCTTAAGGCTTACCCCAAGATGCCGAGTGCAACGAAAGATAGCTTCATGACACCTTGATGGGAGGAGCGTCGTTGAAGAATTAGTAAGCTGGCCAGGTCCTCGCAAATTCGGGGCAATCGGAGCAGCGAGAATATGAAACATCCCTGAAGGGCCCGCATTATAGCAGGGGCAATGGTGGAAGGTTGTGTTGGAGGGGCAGCTGGAGGGGTAATTTAGCGCACAGCACCCGCAGCTTCGCTTCCAGTTCCTCGACACGGGTGACGTTGAGATTCCTCGTCTATCTTACCGCACTCCGTACCTCGATGTCTTTTTTATTTATTTATTTGGGGGTTATATTTAGTATTATTCTGTGCTACACGGTCCCAATTGGCCCCTTTGAGACTGAGCAAAAAGAAAATCAGGACATTGGCTTACAAGCGTCTCATTCTGCTTATCGAAGCAACAAGCTCGGGATAGCTCGATCCCGCCCGTCATAGCTCCAGGATCAGGCAGCGTGAAACCACGACAGCTGTGTCTGTACCGGACCGGTACCCCCGCCAACAGCTGAGCGTGGAATGGGACCATTGGCTACATGGCTCGCCGGTGACACAACTCGCCGGTCATGGACTCGGATGGCGGGGTTGATACCGGCTGCCCCGCTTCCATGAGCTTGACCACTGGAGATGGGCGATTCAACGGCTGCTGCAGTATCTGTAACCACGAGAGGAATAGGTTGGGCCCCACGGTGGCCTTTTGACATGGGCCATGGGCATGGAGCTCCAATGGACCTTCTTTTTTGAACACGAGATGGTCGGACGAGGGGGACTGACTATAAGTAAGGTGCTTGCCGCTCTTCGCATGACTTGCCAGCTTGCACTCGCCTCCACTTTGCTTCGCGACCTTCCACCACCTTTTTCTCCAACGACTCTCGAATCACCTACAAAATGTCCAAGCCCGAAGATCTTCCCCCTATGGAGTACCGCTTCCTGGGCCGTTCTGGTCTTCAGGTTAGTGCCATCAGCTTGGGAGGCTGTGAGTGGCCCTGATTGTGTCCCGGGAGACTGTGACAGACACTGACTCTCCACTAGGGTTGACCTACGGCGGCCACGTCGACTCCGGTACGAGCAGACCCCGAGTCACAGAAGGCGAACGAGACTGACAAACTACGTAGAGGGCACTTTCAAGTGCATGAAGGCTGCCTACGATTCTGGCGTCAACTTCTTCGATACGGCTGAGGGCTACGCCAACGGCGAGAGCGAGATTGGTACGAGCAGTCGACATCACCCTCGCCGAAAGAAGGAGGACTAATTCTGTGATAGTCATGGGCCAAGCCATCAAGAAGTACGGCTGGAAGCGCAATGATCTCGTCATCTCTACCAAGGTGCGCAACCCCGCAAAGGCCTGGCGACACTGGAATCCGAGGCTGACATCTGAATGCACAATAGATTTACTGGGGAGGTGCCTTTGGCGACAACGTTGTCAACAACAAGGGTCTGTCCCGCAAGCACGTCATCGAGGCCATGGACGCTTGCCTTGAGCGCCTCGATCTCAAATATGTCGACCTCGTCTACGCTCACCGGTGAGTTTACCTCTCGACACGTTTACGAATACCACTGACTTTACTTAGTCCCGATCGCCAAACACCCATGGAGGAGACCGTCCGCGCCTTCAACCACCTGATCAACACTGGCAAGGCCCTTTACTGGGGAACATCCGAATGGAGCGCCGATGAGATCGCCCAGGCCTGGCGCTACGCCGACAAGCTGAACCTTGTCGGCCCCATCATGGAGCAGCCCTCGTACAGCATGCTTGACCGTAAGAAGGTCGAGCACGAGTTCTTCCACCTCTACCGCGAAGTCGGCACCGGTCTGACCGTCTTCTCCCCTCTGCGCCAGGGTATCCTTTCCGGAAAGTACAAGAACGGCATCCCCGAGGACTCCCGCTTCGGCTCCGAGAACATTGGATTCATCAAGGACTTTTGGAAGAGAGAGAATGCCAAGAAGCAATTCCAGGACCTCGTTGACAAGGCCAACAAGATCGAGCCTATTGCCGAGAAGCTGGGTATCAAGATGGCTACCCTGGCGCTTGCCTGGGTCCTGAAGAACAAGAACGTCAGCTCCGCCATCATTGGCGCGAGTAGTCCCGAGCAGGTGTTTGAGAACATCCGGGCTATCGGTGCGCAAGAGAAGTTGACGGACGAGATTATGAAGGAGATTGACGAGGCGCTGGAGAACAAGCCCGACGCCATTATCCCGAGATTCTAGAGCGGTCGAAAACGGTGTACGACAATATGCTATGAGAACTTCGGGGTAATTACGTACATATACGAAATACCAATCGAATAATGCACAGATATTACACTTCACACACGATCACTGTTGAAAGCGCGCACGGCAAACACGAAGAAGTCATCAAGGTTGCCCAAAGAGGTGAACACACACTCTACATATCATCCATAGCTGAGTAAAGTTGAGCTGTCTGTCGGGGTGCGCGAGCCACTGCACTCTGGCCAAGTGGTCTAGCGTGCGATGTCTTCGTCCAGAGATCGCAAACTGAAATTATCTAAACCTACCGCGCCCTGCGTCTCGTTGTAGTACCATATTCTGCCATTTTGCCAGTTCGAATCTCCATTTTGTCACTTTTTGTCTTTTCTTTCGGCTTTTCTCTTTCACGCATCGGAGTCTATGTTTTCTTTTGTTTACTTACTGCTCTCGATTTGCAGCCCTGCTCATGATCGAGGCCACCCTAAAGATGACTGCCAAGACTGTTCGAACCAATATATAATTGGGAATTTAATCATGGATGCCCTAAATGGGCTGTTCTATAGTTCCAAGGTGATATAAGTACGAGATGAGCGGATCAAATAAGAGAACCAGGACTCAGCGCAGCAAGAAGTTTCTGCGCCTTTGTTTAAGACTTATAGCGTTAAATCGAAGATAGTGTCGGGCTTCTTGATGTCAGAATTGTCATCGCCGGGCTTCTCGATGTCGGATTATTCCGCATCGTCGATCAACTTGCGCTTCTGGGTGCTCTTCTTCTCGATCCAAATCTTTCATCGATAGAGGGAGGATGAGGCTTCACTTCAAACTTGAAGCTCTGCGGAGAAAAGATGTGGCACATTTAAGCTGGTTCTGTTTGACTCAATAATTTTTTATGAATGTTAACTAAAATTTTCTTGGGTCTATCACTACGTTTGAGACTATCTTTATGTTATAAATGCGCGTGTGACCTTTTTGCCTTTCACAATGCTTCTACGTAAGGTACTTGGCAATACGACTTATTCGGTGCTGTCAGAGAAATGCCCTTTCTTTCCAGACAAGAGGTGGACAACACCCTTCGTCTTCTCCAAAACTTGTGTCCTCCGGCGCACATGCCAAGCAACGGGCCGAGCATACGACAAACACCCCGGGTAACACACGGCCGTCCGGCCCCGCTTTCCTCCGCGGAGATGTTTGCACGGTTTCCACAATTGGAGAACCGAGGAGAGCCGCTGAGAAGGAGGGATGACGACAAATCTCTCCGAGGATCCGGCAATCTATGTCAGCCGTAGTAAGTAGGCCAATGCCTTTTTCGTGTCTCACATATGCACTAAGATCTCACTCAGAAGTCAGAACATCTTGGGTTTTTTTTTACTTCCGAGGTTCTGTGTATAAGACATCAAGCTGACCCCGCCCGATCGTCACAGGCACAAAGTTCTCCAATAGTGCTGTCTCACAAAGTCCCGGGGGAAAAAAAGTCAACAACACCCCTCACTTAGAACAACCAAAAAGAGTACAAAAAGGGAGCAAAAAAGCAAATAATAAAGAGACAAAACACCAGACATGGCCATCTCGAGACTGGTATCGTGGTTCCCCCACGTCAAGGCGCCCGCCATCATCAACGCGCCGATGCTGGGGTCCGCCGGCGCCGCCATGGCAACTGAAGTCCACAAAGCCGGCGGTTTCGGTAAGGGCGAACTCACCCTCCCTTATTCTAGCCAAAATGTCTCTCTCGGCTTCTTAGGAAAAAGAACATCAGACTGACAAATCTTGCTCTTACCAGGTTTCATCGCCGCGGGCTTCGACTTCTCAGAGTCCTCGGCCCAGATGACGGACCTAGACAAGGCCCTGACCCAAGCCCGCACCCTCCTCTCACTCCCGGCCGCGGACGGCAACAGCGGCGGCAGCGGCGCGGGGGGACTCCCGCTCGGCGTGGGCTTCATCACGTCCCACGAGACAGCCGGTCACTTCGCGGCCAACGTCCTGCCCATCCTGGTCCGCCACGGCGTCGCAGCGGCCTGGCTCTTTGCCCCGCACCCAGAGACCAAACCCCACGGCGAAATCATCGCCGCCCTCCGCGGCAAGGGAACGAAAGTCTTCGTGCAGGTCGGCAACGTCGCCGCGGCGCGGGAGGCGGCCGCCGACGGCGCGGACGTCATCGTCGCGCAAGGGGTCGACGCCGGCGGGCACCAGTTTTCGCGGGGCTGCGGCGTCGTGGCGCTGGTGCCCGAGGTGAAGGCCATGCTGGCGGCCGAGTTTCCCGACCGGGACGTCGCCGTCGTCGCGGCGGGCGGGATCGTGGAGGGCAGCGGGGTGGCTGCGGCGTTGGCGCTGGGCGCCGAGGGGGTCGTGTTGGGCACGCGGTTCGTTGCGACGGACGAGGCGATGAGCGCGCAGTTGCATAAGGAGGTTATTGTGAGGACCAAGGACGGCGGGGTGAGTACGTGGAAGTCGGAGTTCCATGATCGATTGGTGGATAATAAGTTGTGGAAGGAAGGGTATGATGGGAGGGCGATTGTAGGAGATATTCATCGGGAGTATCACGCCCTCGGCGGCCAGACGGCGACGGTGGAGGAGAGCCGGGAGAGGTTGCGGACGGGGTGGAGCGAGGAGGAAGGGAAGAAGATGATTGGGAAATGGGCCGGTGCTGGGGTTGGGCTTATTGATGAGATTAAGCCGGCTGGAGTGGTCGTTACTGAGGTGAGAGAGGCTGCGAGGAAGCGGATTCAAGAGTTGGTTGGGTCGATTTGAACGGAACAAAAGGCCTAGTTGGGAGTCTCGGGCAAGGCGTGATTGCATGGCCAAAATCATCAAGTTTGGTGCTCCATAGGGGCTGCAAGAAGATTCATCAACGGGGAATTTAGAATCACTTCGTAAAATAATTGCGTTCGTCCGAGGTGTAGCATAAATCTAGATTCTCTACATGTTGATTCTGCAACGAGCCGCGTCGAAGAGCAGTGCCAGTAAATGCCTGTGTTGGATGTAAGATGTTAGATTTTTGGACTTCCCCCTAGCTTCATGTGATTTGTAACGTGGATAGAGCCCAGGTGTCTGTCTCATATTTATGAGCCCAAAGATCTGACAACGCTCTGCCTAGTGCCCCTTTTCAGTCTTGGTCAACTTGGCCGCACTCTCAAAGTACCCATCCGTGCCGCCGTACTTGGCCAGGACACCGTCAATGTCTACTTCCTCCACGTTTCGCGTCCGCTTTCTCCCAAGCATGGCTGTATTTCGCGTGCTCGGGATACGTAACATCTCCGTCTCCACGACCCATCCGCAGTCCTCGGCGATCTGTGCGGCCCAGTCGACCAAGGAAGCATACGTGGATATCGACTTGGTCTTATCACGCGGCGGCGGCGGACGGTACTTTTGACCGCCCAGAGAATGGCTGCAGCAGGGAATCATGATGAAGGGGCTCTCCGACAACGTAGCGAGGATCGGCGTCCAAGGTGTAAGCTCATCTGCGTGATTGGAAACGATGAAGGTGCCTTTGGGGAAAGCGCCGTTGTGTATCTTTGACAGATCCAAGGCGGGCTCCTCCTCGCTATCGGCGTAAGACGGCCTCGAGACAATGTCGGGGAGAAGAACCAGAGCCTGGAGCGAATCCCGTCCATCTTGGACAGAATTGTATTTGGCCCATGACTTCCTGGCTCTGGCATCGAAGCCCCAGCCAGAGTAGCCCTCTTGGATCAACAGATGAACTAGCAATCCATTTCCGCAACCAATATCTACAAATCCAGGGAACGGCTGGTCCTTGTACATTTCTTTCCAGAGCTCAATCAGGAAAGCAGCAATGCCCAAGTCCTCAAAGACATGCTTAGTTGGGTCCGTCGTCTCGGCCCAGGTTTCCACCAGGTCCTTGGCATACTTGAGCTTGAGCTCCATATAACGGTCCTGGAACCTGGCCTGGGGAATCACAACGTCGTGGTGCACCCGCTTGGTATACCCGTCGATCCGCCCCTGGCCGTGCTTGTACAGCACGGAGAGCAGCATGCGGGCGGTCCGGACCAGCTTTTCGACGGCGAAATCGGCCTCGTTAAAGAAGAGGTAGTGGATGGAGACAGTACCGACGGCGCGCGCAGCGTCCCACTCGTGAAGATGCGCGACACCCCGGACCTTGGGGTGGTAGAAGGGGAGGGCGTCGGGCGAGGACGCGTGGGGGAGGTAGACGACCAGGGACCTGACCTTTGTGGCATCTGGGGTACAGGAGGAGGCGAAGATGCACGTCTGGTCCAGGGGGTCGTCCCGGCGGGTGTTGCGCGGGATCAGCCTGCGCACGAAGACGCGGTCGTTGTGGAAATCCTGAAAAGCAATGGGAAGAGGCTGCTGCTGATGCTGCTGCTGCACAACTTGTGCGGCGGCGCCATCTTCCGAGGCAACGTCAGGTGCGGGTGCAGGGGGAGGTATCCATGCCGGGTCCGAGTCGTGTAGGATATCAGCGCGGAAGAGCCATGACGAATTGATGTTTGGGTTCTTGATGAGATTCATCATGACATCCTCAAAGATTTCAGGCCCAAAGGCGCACTCCTGCTGGAACAAGGGATGCCATATCTCGCCGGAGACATCGTGTACGAGGGGCTCTGCCGACTGCCCAAGTGCCGTGGGATCATAAGCCATGTCGATAAGGCGGGAAAGAAACAAAGTTGTTTCCCAGGCTGCAGGCTGAGGAAGAAGCAATACAATGAAACTTTTGAGTGTGATGGACAGCCGTGAGATGTGACTCGGGCAGATATCGCATGAATTATAAGAATGGCGCTAGGCAAGTGTCGGCTAGCCCCGCAGGGTCGGGCTAGGAGCGGCCACTTTTAGGCCACGGACCCATGTGACGTTGTGAGTTGGCCAATTTTTTGTTTACTTTGCGAGGTGGTTGCCATGTCACCCCCACCTCGCAAAATACACAGCGAAGAAGAGTAGACACAGCACAGCACACAGCAAGTTCCATATCCAGCAGAAACTCGCCCTCGCCCTTGCAGACCACGCAGAAAAGGGTACTGATCCGTCACTCTCCTGCATAAGCTCCGAACCGGGCACTACGAATACACACCAACGCCATAGCTCATTTCCTTTTGATGACACACTTTCTGCTCTTCTTTCGATCTTCAGTCACAAGCTTTTCGAGCCGCTCAAGAACCACATTCCTCCGCATGTGCTGACCAAGAGGAATACTCTTCAACAAGCACTGCTCGTAGTGCGATCGTCTCGCCGCGACAACACGTCCCCTACGATGGCGGATAACGACAACTTGCGTACGGCATCGCTGTATATCAACAATCAATTGCTCTCGCGAGGACTCCTACGCGATGGCCAAACAATCAACTTTGCCGACCCGGACGACTATCCGGGCGGCGCGGAGGCCACCATGGGCAAGATCATGAGCATTGTCAATGATTTGATCTTGCGCCGAGACGTGCGTTTGCCCTTATTCCCCTGATGTATAGAACTTGGAGAGAAGAAGAGGAAGAATGCCCCATACTGAGATGTTGTGTTTCCCCCCTTCAAGCGCGATGCCGAACAACGCGAGAACCTATCGACCACCATGCGCACCGTTCGCGCCGAGAACCTACGGTACACAAACGACATCGCACGCCTCTCGGAGAAGCATATCGAGGCTCAAAGAAAGCTCGACATCAGCGAGGCCACCGAAAACACCTTGCGTACTCAGCTCAAGTCTGCCGACGCCGCTGTACGCGGCCTCAAGGACGAGGTGGCTCGCGCCAAGACTCTGGTCGCCCAGACGAGGGCCTCCTGCGCAACGGAGGTCCGACGCCGCGACCGCCAGATAGACGGCCTGAAGAAGCAACTGGGCGAGGCTGGCCGTCCCCGCGGTACCGCGAAGAGCTCCGCCGTCACCGTTATCAGCGTCGTCGCAGGCGAAGGCGAGGATAAGATATCGCCTAAGCGCGGGGCCAAGGCCGCCGCGGCTACGGAGGACTCTAGCTACGATCTGCGTACCGAGACGAACGAGTTCCTGACGGACCTTGCGCGAAACCTTAGTGAAGAGAACGAGTCTCTCTTGAACCTGATCCGTCGAACAACCAAGAGCTTACGCGAGATGAGTGGCTGTGATGCTAGAACAAGCCAGGGAGATGGTCATGCTGTTACGCTGCCCACGGCTGAGGACATGGCACATGAGCTTGACGCCATCCTCGAGCACCTGCGCTCCATCTTGACGAACCCCTCGTTCGCCCCTATTGAGGAAGTCGAGGTCCGTGAAGAGGAGATTGCTCGTCTGCGTGCGGGCTGGGTGAAGATGGAGAACCGCTGGCAGGAAGCCGTCCATCTCATCGACGGTTGGCGTCGACGCATGGTGGCCGATGGCAAGTCGGTCAACATGGAAGAGCTCAAGATGGGCCTCCGTCTTAGTCCTGTGCGCGTTCGCAATGTTGAGGAAACCCACCAGGGCGCCATGGACATGCATGAGCTGTCTTGTGTGCAAGAGGAATGCACCGCCGACTTGGAAGAGGAGGGAGAGGAAGAAGAAGAGGAAGAGGAAGAGGAGGTTGATTATGACGATTTGCCTGAATCTCCTTGCCCTGCTCCGCAAAGGGTCGAGTCACTCCATCTTGTTCCTGCACCGGCAGAATACAATGCAACTCCTCGCGAAGAAGAGTACAGCCAGGACGATCAGCCGAGCGACTATGAGTCGAGCATCTTCGAGGATGTGGACGTTGAGGAACTCGATATTGAGGAGCCCAATGTCCAGATTCTTCAGCAATCCACCGCCTACCTCAGTTCCCCTCCTCTTCCCCCACCTCCCCAGATGAGCCCGCTCCGCGAGATGCCTTCTGCAGGCAACCGCGACGCCAGACCAAGGCGTGACGTTCGCGGAGACTTCGACACGATGGCCAACGAGAAGCCCAGAACGATCCGCGCTGTCGACGTCGCCCCGAAGCCACCACCACACCTCGTTCAACTTCCGCGATCACCGCAGAAGCCAGCGCACCCGGTCGACGACCGCTCTCGCACAACATCTGCTGCCTCCATCGCCTCCGAATCGACGCACAATGGCGCACCCCTCATCACACCATCCGGAACCCCGCCCCCGGAAGTAAACCAAACGCCAACCGCACGGAAACTCCCCAAGCCGCCGCGTCTCGTCTCAGCAGCCCCCGCTGCACCTTCACCAGCGGTCCCGGCACCGAGAGAAACACAATCTCCTGTCAAGAATATCCGTACAGTCTCGCAGGAGAGCCAAGAAAGCCAGTCGAGCCAGGAAAGCTGCGAGGGCGCACCCCCCGCCCCGGCCGTCCAGCCCAACAGTAACAGCAATAACAAGAACGCAACACCGCACCGCACCCCTCTCCGCCGCGTCCCTTCTCGTCTGCCGCTCCCGCGGCCCTCGGACCCGCCACCACAGCAGAGCCCCCTGACAATGGCAACCATCGCAGCCAAACTGGCAGCCTCAGAGCGTGAAGCCGACGCCGCCCGTGTCCGCGCGAAGCTCAAGGCAGCGCGCGGAGGTGCGCTTGGTAAGCCGGTGGCCGCACCCCAACAGCAGCAGCATATGCCTCCCCCTCCGCCAGAAACCATCGTCGCCATGCCACAAGAGCCTCAGCCACCCGTAGACTCCCCGGCCAAGACACGCGCAGACCGAGGAGACCTCGACCCCGTCAAGCGTGACATCTCGCAAGGCGACCAGGTCCAGCAGTCGCCGCTCCAACCGACAAAGCGTAAGCGCGAGAGGCGCGTGAGTAAAGTCGCCTCGAGGAGGCGGAGCACGCTTAGTCCCTGGGAGATGGAGAGTCTCATCTCGGGTAACGTCGCTGTCCCGCCGTCGCCTGCTCGGTCGTGAGGTGCTCGTTGCTGTCGCATTTACATTCATTCAAACCTTGCAAAGAATCACTAGAAGCGAAGAGGAGGCCCCCCTCCTCTTTTGCTAATTACAATCACTTTATAATATCACTACCCCAATAACTCTCCTATGCTTTTCTTTGGGAGGAAACATCAATCTGTCTTTTTTCAAGGGAAAGGGGAGATATCCAACGGCGTTTGAGAAAAGGGGGGGCGAACGAAGGAGCCGCCTGTAGCAGCCTCATATATATGGAGGGCGGCGGTTCCAAGGCAGGGAAGGAAACCCGTGGGCAGGCAGGAGTGGGAGGGGAAGATGAAATCGTCTTGTTTCATTCCGTTTTGACCTTTTTATATATCCGTGAAGCTTTGTTTTGGTCATTGTCGTACTCATTGCCAGCCAGACACTTCAATAGCGAGGAGCTCTGAATTAGCAAAACTGATCCACCTTGTTTACTTATTCATATTTTCGGTCTATTCATGCTGTGTGTGTCATGATACCCTGCGTGTGAATCTGTGCCATGAAAACCATTCACATTTATCAAGGAGAAGATCATGTGGAAATCGCCCGTTTTTCTTTTTTCATTACGGACAGCAAGTATCAAACACATGAATCCAAGCAGTCACGCTTAATGCTATGAGACCTACGTGATTCGACCGGAAAGGTCACAAAAGAAAACCAATAGCAACGTATCAATTTCTTGGCCAGTTGCTACCCCACGACTATCAACGTTGAGCCACTTTCACTCACCAATTTCGGCCTCCACGGGAGTCAAGGGTTCCAACGGTACGGGGAACTCAGCTTCCCAGCTACCGTACACGACCTCGACTCCGTGAGCGCCACAAAACGTCCTCAGCTGGTCCATCGCCACACCCGTCAGCGCGCGCTGGTACACCTTCTTCAGCCTGCCCAGTATCGCGACGCGCTCGATGATGGCGCCGAGGCGCATCGGGTCGCACAGGTCCGAGTGAAGCTCGAGGACCTCGAGGTTGGGGAACGACTGGAGGAAACCAAAGAGGAGATCGACCGAGTCGATGCCGCGGCCCCTCTGCGCCGGGTCGCGCGTCAGGTTCTCGTGGGACTCGAAATCAAAATTGAAGAAGCCAAACGTGCGGACCGAGACGCTGCCACGAAGCCAGTCGAGCGCGCCGGGGAAGAACTGGCCCGGCTCCTGGCGCCAGCAGAGGCCGAGCTCCCGTAGCCTGCCTGAGCGGACGGCGGGCTCGAGGAGGACGGTGGCGAGATCGACGCTCAGGGGCAGTTTCGGCATCCAGAAGCGCTCGAGGTTGGGGTAGGTGACGAGGGACTCGGCGGCCTCGTAGCCCGAGTAGTCGAGAGGCAGCTGCTGGGGCAGCCAGTCGCCGTGGTTGGACTGTAGTGCGGCGCGGGCGTCGAGGACGCGGAAGGAGGACGGGTGCAGCGGCGGGAAGTGGCGCTTGTCGCCCATGGAGAGGGCGCCGCACGCCTTGCCGAGCTTGATTACCTGGAGGCCCGGCCAGAGAGACCAACAATCTTCTGGCGGAGCGAGGGAGTCTAGGCCAGTGAATACGCCAAAGTTGTCCATGTGTAGTTGTTCTAGGTTTGGCGTTGAGCGGGCGAGGGCGAACTGCAGGTGCTGGTTAGCAAACATGGTAACTGCGTGGATAACTTTGCAACAGCCAAAAAAAAAAAAAAAAAAAAAAAAAAAAAGGAGAAATAGATGGAAGAGGAGGCACAACTCACGGGGTCAATTCGACGCTCAGGGGTTAGCTGATTCAATGTCGAAGTCAGCGGACCGGTTAACTGAAGGATCTTGAGTCGGGGCAGCTCCGGCCAGCCCAGATCGTTGAGGTGCATGCTGAAGAGGGATATCCTCTCGATATTCTCCCGGGCACGTTCGACAAACTGCCTCACGAAGGGCTGGGCGCCACCACTACTCTGATAATTCGGTCTGTTGACGCGGAAACTGAAGCCGAGGTGCGTGAGCCCTTCGAAGAAAAGCGGCTTGGGAGGCAGCTTGTAGCCCCAGTCGCCGCCCTCGAGGTCACGCTTGATCGCGCCGATCTCTAGGCGCGTCGTCATGCGCGGGTTCGTGGTCTGGATGAGAGACAGCCACTTTGACTCGTTGAGTTGGAAGGCGTGCGCGTTGGGGATGACGAGGCTACGGGCGCCGCCGCCGGTCCGCCTCCGCAACGTTTTTAGGAAGGAGACTCTTGGTGGCTTTTGCGGGTTTAGTGAAGGAAAATGAACCTGTCTCCAGATGTAGGGGTGGGTGTCAAGGAACTGGTCCCATCGTTTACAGACTCCCGATATTCGGCTGGCATTCCATGTCAGCAATTGAGTCAGGAGAAGGAGTGTCGGTCAAAGGACTTGTATCGGGCTGCTTGAACTCACCATAACTCATGAAAATCAAAGTAGGAAAATACTTTTTCAATCAACTCGATTGGTAGCTCCATAGGATCTCTCCGACAAAAGTGTTTGTGTAATGGTTCGCGGATCTTGCAAAGTTGCTGCAAGAGTCGAGGTTAGCGAATAGTCAAGCGATACCAAGTTCAAGTAGATATCGCATACTTCATATTTCGTCGTACTGGTGAGGCCTTCCTTTTGTCCAACCTCAATACCGGCACTCCACGCAGCCCACGCCATCTCGTGTTTCTTCTCCAACTTGTATATCTTCCCCAGCCTCATGTACCCCTGAAAACATGTTATTCACATGGAACCCAGCATAAGAGGAAGACAAGCACGCAAAGTGGTCAGGGAGCGACAGCACGCACAGCCAAGTCCGAAAAACAACAGAGCAAAGACTCACCTCCAACCGCCTCGGCGCAATCTCTAACAACCACTCCGCATCCCTGCGCGCCATATCCAGCTTTCCCATCTTCTCAAAGCACGCAGCCCGGTAGTCGAGCGCCTGGACGTGGCCTTCACGGTGGCAGCGGCCCCACGTCTTCTCGGCGCCGCATTTGCACTCCTTAGTGGCCTCCGCGTAGACGCTGCCCCTTTCGCGGCGGTGCCGGGCCGCCGCTTGAGCAAAGTCGCGGCACGTACACCTTTCCCGCCGGCGGCGCTGCTGCGCGGGGCTGTGGCCGTTCCCGCTGGCGTCTCCGCCGTCAGGACCTGCACCTCCACCACCTCCAGAACCTGCGGCCCCGAGCCCTTTGAGACTTCGAGAAGTACGACCACCGGAACTACTTCCTGAGCCTCCACCTGAGGAGGCAGGCCCTCCTCCAGAGGGTGACGAACATGGGCAATTCCCGGCGACGAGGGTGAAGTGCTCGAGTGCGACGCGGAAGCGCTGGTCCGCGTAGGCTGCGCGGCCCTTCTCGATTGACGCCTCCGCCGAGCGGATGCGAGGGAGCTGTCCAGGCGGCGCCATGCCTTTTTGATGACGTGGATGTAAAAGACTGTGGTCTGCGCGAAGGGATCCATTGAGACGGCTGGTCAGTTTTGTATACCTGTATCGGTTTGCTTTTGTTGAATGAGGCAAAAAGATCTCGCAAGATGTTGAGTCTCCTGCTTTGCAGAAAGAGTGAGGTTGTCGTGAACTTGAGGTCACGTGGTACTGGTGATATCTGGCACTCACTGGGGTAAAAGGAACTTTATGAACAAACGCTCGTCTGAGGAGACAATGAATCCGGGGATAGGCCAGCTAGTGCACAGAACAAGAGAGAGTGGGCATTTCGTCTCTTTCGCAGCTGGCCTTTTCTTTTCGAAGGATACTGAGGTCTTAATGAGAAAGAAGAAGCGGCTGACAGCTTAGATTGTGGCGGACGGGGTCGACGGTGTGATAGTGGTGTCGCCGAGGTGGAGGTACAGCATCTCCGAGGTTGGAAAGTGAGGTTGCGGGACGAGGGGCGGAACTCAGGGCGCGACGCGAACGCGACCGGATGTCCTCCGTAACGGGTCCCGCTGTGGCCCGTGGAAGGAGCGAGGAACCGGGGTTACCGCCGGAGGGGGCCCTCGTGGGGAAAGAAACGACAAGTTTCAGCGCCTTCCAGGGCTTATGCTGCTGTAGTTCCGCTGCAAAACTGACTTTCAGGGCAAATAGTTGTTTCCATTGATACTTTCCTTACCTTAACCACCTAAGTCCTGCCTTCCATCGGTCGAGTACCCAAGGTACCTAAATAACGATGAAAGGCAGGTAACCACCTTCCCTTGCCGCCTTCCATTTCCATAGCACCTTCTAGCTTTCCATCGGCGATTACCACAGATTAAGGAAATAACTCAGGCAAGATGCCATGACCCATCTCACAACCACCACGAAACAAGCATCGCCATTCAACTGCATCTTCACAGCAATGACCTCATTCCAAAGCAAACCCCGTCTTCCTCGATCACCATCAACCCCAGGTTGTTCTAGACCCCAAGTCCCCGAACTCCCCCAAAATCCTACCGAATCCTACCGCCACCGTCCCCGCGAGAGGACGGCAGACCTTGCCGACTCCTCCGCTCCGCATCCGCCACTGTCTGTGGCGCTCCCGTCAAGCTCAGATCGTTCTCCATCTATAGAGTAATTGCGCCTCGCAAGTCCCCCCTGCTCTGATCACACACCTGCGCATCCAAGAGATCCTCCAACAGCCGACAGGGCTAGCTACGACGGATGACATTGTACGAGGAACTGAGCCTCAATCTCACTCGCCCACGCCTATCACCAGCCTCGTCACGCAGCCACATCTCACATCACTACCCTAAATCTCGAAGAACCATACGCCCCCTCGCCGTTATTTCTGGTCATCCTTCCATCGCAAAGAGCCGAGGACAGTCCCCAATTCAATTCAACAAGCCAGAGCACACCAAGACAGAGACCAAGCCTAGTGGTTCAGGGGGCGCATGGCCGCACCACCCAGCCGGTGTAACTCCTCAGCTGCTCATTGCCAGCGACGATCTCTGAGCTCTCGTTCTGTGGCACACGCTCTTCCAGGCAACGGCCGACAGGCAATTCACACACTTGTCCAACCAAGCCCTCCAACCGAAATGCAAAGAGATGTTTCTGGTATCATCTCGCCGTTTCAAGGCATCATTTTCAGGAACCAGATCCCGGGCGACAACGGCGACCAATAAGGATAGCCGCGATGTGAGCAACCCAGTAATCCAAGATCCAGCACCCCACCAAGCTCAAGATCGATTACTTGCGCGCATCCCCGGCTCTCTGGATTTAGAAGTCCCTTGCGTCTCGAACATCAGCAACCCAGCCCAGTCTAGCTTTCACCTTCAAAAGTTCCGCGAATATCAGCCTCTGACTAAGGTTGCAACTCGTACTGGGCGGCGTCAAGGAAGTGAGACAGAAGTGCCATGCTTTCGGCACCGGAACGTGTGTCTCCAAAGGTCAGCAAGTCTACCCACGCACAAAGTGGTGTGTCTTGCATGCTTCATGAGCATTGGACAGTGACCTACACAACCCAGGTAGAAGTGCCTGCATAGATTGGAGGCATGGGTTGCCATGTCACCCTTTCGACGACTCCTTCCGAGACTCGGATCCCCCATTTTGGCACACCGAGGCCCGCCCCCCGGTCGGCCGGGCATAGGACCTCGAAAGCCGCGGACGCCCATGCATATCCGCCTGGCACTTTTTTGTTCCTTCCATCACTTCGTACCGCCTAGTCGGCTGGTTCGCATCATCCTATCCAAATCACGGATTAGTATCCCACTCAGCATGGGATTTCAGTTGCCTCTCTTTGGCAAAGTTGCCCACTCTGCTTCTCTCACCGGTCACCAGCGGCGGCACGTTAAAATCTGGGCAAATCTGCAGCCCCCAAAATAGGAATCCTTCAGCCAAGCCAAGGCAGGCCGCGCGTGGAAAGAATCCTAGATATGCATCATTTCCAAGTTTTCGAGTACGGCGTAGTCTTGCTTGACAATGGTCCCATGGCAAGGCGGCCGTCAAACAGCGACCCCTTCCCACCCCCTGTACGTCTTTCTACCTCGAGGTATGTCACGATGAGCCGGATATCGCGGTCGCAGGATCAAAAAGAAGCTCACAGCAGCTGCCTGCCGCTCCGTCCGCATCCGCATCCGCGACCCGCGACCCCTCACCCCGGCACCCTAGCATGGCTGAGGCCAAGCATCACGCGAGTCCGGACAACCCTCGAAGAAGCTGGCCAAGCATCGATTCTGCCCGGTAGGATCCGGTGCTTTGCGGTTCCCGCCGCAATTGCACATCAATATATCGCTTCCCATCACAGTGAGAAGCTGTCGATTGGTGCTGCTAGGCCAGTTCGTGTCTAGTTACCCGTCCTTCTTGTTTACATGCTTGCATGAAGATTGTTTGCCTCGAATCCTTCTGCAGCAAAGGTATCTACCTTCCCTGAGGTACGCTACCTACGGACAAAGTGCCTTGCACAAACAAAGATTGCATACGCCGTCCGTACGGATGCTTGAGGCCGCATCCTGGCCCGGGCGGTCGGCCGCGGTGCGAACCCCACCCCCTTGGGACACCCCTTGTCCGACAACAAACTGCCTTCCTCCAGGACCTCCCGAAGTCGATATCTCGATTTCAACAAATCCTTCCTGCGATGCACGGTATCTTCCATTCCTTCGGCACGTCTTTGGCCATCAGAGGTCAGAAAATGCTGAGAATTCTGCCACACGTCCCCCCTCTACTTTCCGACCATCGAATGGGAAGTAAAGAAAAGCAACGCTGTGGAAGAAACTCAAATGATACCCAGCAAGGAAACAAACGCAAGCATCGTGAAATCAAACCACGAAGTATCCGCAGTCCCACGATTTTCAGGTGAGGAGGCATCCCATTCACCGGGGGATCCTCTTTCAAAATGGAGCAAAGTTCAGATGAGAAGTTGCTTCTTCAGATGAACAGGACAGGGACATGCCCCCCCCCCCTGGCGTTTGGGCAGAAAATACGACCGACTGTCGTTTCTACCCCTCCCCCCCCCCCCCCAAATTGATCAAGTCATTTTTTGTCTAAATTTGAATTTTGTAAATCTTTGGACGATCTGCACAGCGGACAGCTGTCATGTCTGATGTCTCAAAGCCACTACTACCCTATGTACGGAGTACGCTGTACTGGCAAATGAGCCCAGGTCTTAAGCTCCGAACGACATGGCGTGTCTTTAGATGGCAGCGTAAGGATACATGATTGCATTTTCTCGGCATCTCGAATTGATGCCTAGGGATCAGTTCCCTTACGCCCATGCTTTCAATAACAAATACGTCGAGTCTGTATGCCGTACGTACACAAGAGTAGAATGCAAGGACAAAGCCAAAATGAGAGCAGGGGTGTGGGGAGGTTCCTTGGAGGTGACCTCATGTCGAAACCACCCGACCCAGCCCTCGCTCGGCGTCCCTCACATCTGGGAAATCTCGCATCTCACCAATCGTAAACCATGCGCTGCGCTGCAACCACCAAAACCAAGGCTCAGAGCCCTAGCGTCAAGCCCCGTCTAGACTGGCCAGACACTTCACGCCGCGATACACACACCTGCACGACTCCAAAGCGCTTGCGCTTATGCATCCATAGGTATATGCGTGTCTGCGGCACGTGTCGTATCTCTCCCTCGTCCGCTTGCGCCTTCCCGCGCCTGTCGTCTAAGTAATCTGATGAGAATCTTACTTGACCCTCCTTGATGGGTTGCCATGGTGTAGGGTTCCAACCACTCAACTCTCACTCATGACCCTCCAAACCCACCCGCCCACACATACTTGCACACTTACATACACATACTTGCACACTTACATACACGAACGTGCATACACATACACAAGTGCGAGCGTCACATCACCACACACACATCATCCCCCTCCCCCCTCCTCAAGCCTGCGCATTCTTCACCGCAGGCAATTTTTGGCATCTTACTGTACGACACACCACCAAGGGCGGCAGCGGCAAGCGGCAAGCGGCAAACCCCACCACTAAGCACTCACTTCATCCCTCCCTCATTGGTATCATGTATGCTTACCGCCGCATTTTCCCCTAAGACACGGTCCAAAAAAGAAACACATGCAGCCCACACACCACCTACACTTACACTCACAATCACCCATGTACGCTACCTTATACTCACCGTGAGAAAGAAGACGCGGGAAAGTCCCATGCAGAAACCAAAAATGTCCCAAAAAGACATGCGTAATCCACCAAGACATTGATCTCATATCCCCGACCTCCAGGAGGTAATCCCATGTGCTCCCCATCCCCTGCCCGTACGATGTTCATTTTTAGACCCCACAGCACATCTTGCCGGGTTTTGTGATCCGTGGTCCGTCATCTCACCGAGTAGCTTTCACCCCCCACAAAAATCCACGCCGGCTCACCTGTCACGCCAAATGACGCTCAATTGCGGCTATTCCCCAACAAGCGCGGAACTTCGCTTATTTCGGCGCCTCACGCCCATGTCCATGCCCTTGGCACCCACGCACCCTGGACCATCTGCCGCGACGGGCGCCGCGCGCGCGCACAAGCTCGCTTGTTGGGCTTAGCTTGTCAACTTGTCCGTCGCCCATTTCCCCACTCCCCACCATCCGTTCGTTGCGGTGTTCGTCTGTTTAATTCCATTCTCCCCTTCCGTCCGTCTGTCTCTCCCTCCGCACGTCTAAAAATAAATCTATTCTTAGAACGGTACCTTCGATGCATTTCATCTATCTCTGTCTGTCCGCTTCAAGATTTGGACCGGCACATCACGCCCCATGCCCGTGTTACCTGACTTTGCCGTTCCCGAATTCCCAGTCCCTTTCTTTCGGGACCAGACAGACACGACCCAAGGAAACCCCACCATCCGCATCTGACCCAGGTACGGTCCACGGATAGGTCTGTCCAAACTCACACGCCCTTCTTGGCGCAAGGCTTTCTTTCTAGGTACCCGTCAAATTCAAGGGTTTCCTCTTCCTCGTACTCTGCGCGGTACAGCTCAACCCATGGCAGATCTGGCAAACACCATTACTCCGTACCCATCCATGCATACGTCTCTTGCACTCCATTTCCCCCATTTGGACAACGGAACACACCACCCCCCTCCACTCCCGCTCAACACTGCTGCACTGCATCAACCCATCTCACCGGGAGTCTTTCCCACTCACCAGCCCACCACAACTTCACCACTGTCTCAGAATCCTTTTTTCATGTTCTCGAGTCCCGACGAGTGGGAACTGCAGTCGAGGTACCCACCTACCCGTCCAAGATATCCATGTCATTTGGTTCCCGTTTTGTTTCCACCTTCTCCCAAACACCCTCCCCACCACCACCACCGCGCGCATTCCCACGATACCATGAAGCCCACGCAAAGGCCTCCCGCGGCACTCCATTCTCCTCCGTGCGTCCGGCAAAGAAAGCAGCCCCCCTCCCCGAAATCCCGTCAGCACCTTGAACCACCACCCTGCCAATGGAAAAACTCAGTTTCTTCGCGTCTCCCATATTTCCCATCCGCATATACACCCACACACACACGCCCCCCTGCTTTTGCACCACCACCCCCTATCGCAAGGCTGAGTTCTCGGCCGTCCAAACGAGGCTGGTCGTGGCCCCCAAAACAGATTTCCTTCTCCCTCGACCAATGGCGTGTAAGAGGCGGGCTCAACTGAGTGCTGATGCCTGCCTGCTGTTCCTTCGCCCGCCAGCCAGACCGTCCGTACCGCACATACCGAGGAGGGAGCAGCCGCCAACGACCGAGAGAGAGAGAGAGAGAGAAAGATCCTACTCGAAATAAAGTTCCCCACGGGTAGGATGTCATTGCATGGCCCGAACTCTTGTACCCGAGCATTTCCTTTCCCTTGGGGGAGGAAATCCTTTCGATTCCATTCGTCTTCTTTTTTTGTGAATTAAAGTCCCACCTTGTCGTCGAAAGATGATTCCCCTTTCAGTAAAGTGCAAACAACACGCCAAAGTCCGCAAATACTTTTCTCTCTCTCTCTCTCTCTCTCTCTCCCAGGTGACAACGTCGCTAACAAAAGCCCACTTTCCCGTAAACACTCCCCCCCCGTGACAACCTCTGATTGGGGCCTATCTTGGGGTAACATGGCCCCGAATCTGCCTAGCTTTGCAGGATCTTGACTCACAACGCTCCCCGAGCTACCTTCTACTGCGGACCGTTTAATTATTTGCCACCTTTGATATCATTGCAAAGTCCTCCGTGCCCTAACCAATGACGTGGGAAACGTGTTCACGATTGGAAAGTCTCTCAATTGTGTCCTGGGAAGCTCTTGGAACTTCTTTCCAGATTGTCTATATTTGATAATGTGGTCTCTCTAATACAACGATTCTCTGGCCAGATCGCCGTGCGTATCTGGCCCTCCAATTGCAACCAGCTCAATCCCTGCAGGGCGGGCAAAATTGCCATACCGTGTTTTTAACCAACCTCAGGAAGTCCCAGACAGCCCTGTGTAGTTTGGCAGTATAAGATAAAAATCTCCCTGAATGAGAAATGCCAATTGGTCGAATCTCAAAGAATCGAAATAAAATGATGTCTGGCATCAAAAGTAGTGTTGAGGTGAAGGAAGGCGTCATGCCGCTCTTTTCTTCCTCGTTGCGGGCATTCCAGTTGCCCTTTTTGTGTGTGTCTCTGCTGTCGACACCCGTCATTGGTTTTTTCCCCGTTGCTCCCAGAGCAACTCGTCTATCATCGGATGATGGTACAGATCATGTGAGAGAAGAAAGCAAGAGAGAAATCTTGGTAGAGAACAGAAGAAGAGTAAGTAGAGAGATTGAGAGAGAGAAAGCAACAATTCTGATATGCAACATTGGAAAGCAGAAAATGCAAGACAGAAAAAAACAAAAAAAAACAATGCAACAACAAAAAACCTCGCTCACCCTGGTACTCTCGTCAACCATCGCATGCGCAGCGATGCGCTTGTATCTTTCCGAACCTGAACGCCTGGTATCCTCCCGCCCGCCCGCCCGCCAAATGCATCGAAAACTCGTCCGTAAACTACACAAAGTTGAGAATGAGACCGTTGTCGAATGCCTGTAGAATCGAATCTTGCCGCCGCTGACTTGAAGAAGAAAAAGTCCCCCTCCTGAAAACCAAAGCGTAAACCCAAAGTGATGCCCCGAAGGCAGAGAAGATGAGGTCCAGCCCAATTAGAAGTTAGGCATCTCATGTATGCATGTGTTCATCCCAACCGCCCAATGCAGAAAAGAAACAACCCAGAACCAACGCTATGCATGTCCAATGTCGAAAGGGAAGGAAACCACATCTATTGAAAGAAGGGGGGGAAACCGAAATGGGAAAAGAGAAAAAGAAGGTTGGAAAGAGTTGAATGTCGAGAAGATTTCGAAGTTTGAGCGAGACCGGGGGGCGTGGACTTGGTGGAAGATGTCGTTTAATTGCAGCGCGCTGATGATGACTATTGATAGGCCGTGAAATGTTTCCGTCATGTTCGTGATCTCGTCTCTGTCTTCGATAACTTCGTTGCTGAACTTCATGGCAGGGCGTGATGGTGGAAATAGTTTGTTGGTGTCGGTGGTAAAATAACCGGAGTGGAGGGATCCGTATAAGCCATTGGCCGGAGAGTCATCGCACAGCGGGAGGCGCCGATGAAGACATCAAACGGTCATGGCCGACGAAGAGGAGAGATAGCTGCGAGGGTGGCAGCGTTTGAGAGGCCGACCTTCCTCTAAAGGAGTATAGGTAGGTAACCCAAGTGCCGAATTGGAAAAGCAGCAGCTTGGGGGAATGCCATGAGCAGCAACCCATCACCGAAGACAAGACATTTCACCGGTACTGGCGGGAGCCCTTGCTTGAATGGCTAGAGTGGTAACCAGAGTCGGAGTATGAGTATTGTGATGCGTACGTGCTGTGTGATGAAGAGTGAGCATGGCAGGCGTATCCGACCAAAATTGTTCTGTTCTGGATGCTATGTCCTGGTCGGCCGTAGGCAGCGCATCTGTCAATGGCGTGCTGGTAGTAGAGGCAGCGGCATGCTGAGTAGAGCTCGACAAGTTGATAGCACATTGTGAACGTTATTCAGAAGTACGTTGAGTGACTGAAGTGATGTATGGTGTGAAGGACCGAGGAATTGATCCCTGAGATATGAGTCGGGGGAGAGGATGGCTTTATCTCTTGAGGAAGTTTGTGTGTTGTTGGTGTTTGGTTGGGGGGATATCGAGTTGAGCAATGATCAGAGAGACTGAAAGCTGCCAGGTATGCAGAGAAGCAAGGGGAACAAGGCAGAAATAGGAAATAGAAAAGGGAACCCAAGTGAGTGTGTTCGTGATGACTTATACTGGAGTAGACTAAGGATGGGGAGATGGAAAAGAGCGAAGGCATCACGACCTTATAGGCCTGGCAGCCTGGGAGGTCGTCACACGGGTAGGCAATTGGTAGATTGGTAGAGAGCCGTCTAAGGCAGCAGTGGGACCCTCTGGCAGTCGACAGTGGATGTCATCTGAGTGAGACCAATGACTAAGGCTGCATCTTGTGCATTAGAGCGGTATGCAGACCAGAGGTCTTGATGGCGCAGGGCAGGACCAGGGAAAGGTGCCTTGCACCTTTCCATCATGGCCTGGTAAGGCGCAGCAAGTAAAAAAGGTGTGAGAAGAGAAAGAGTGAGTGCGAGCAGAACGAAGAGGTGAGCAGGCGGAGAGGAGGGGTGAGCGGTGGAAAACGGGCTGGGGTGGAGGGGGGGTGAGAATGATGGTGGGCGTGCGTACTTGAGCGAACTAGACAGGGCACATCAACGAGAGCCAAGTGAGGTACGTTAGGTACGGACTAGGTACGGATACCTTCCTGTGTATTCGTAGATGTAGGTGTGCACAAGTGGAGGGGGGGGCTGGCTCCGTTGGAGACTGGCGACGGGAGCCCTGAGGTAAGGGTGAAGGGGGAACGGAGGGGTCGGTCAAAAGAGTCATCTTCAGCATCCTTTCCAATCGAAACATCTCTCAAAATGGACACTGCCGGTCTGTCCCCATACTTTGGGTTGATGAGGTGCAGCAGGGCTGATGCGCGATGGGATGGAATGGGACGGGCATGGGTGGATGGTTGTACGAAAAGAAAAAGAATCGACGAATGCCAATTGGTCCCGTCCGCGGTGTTGTACTCTGGAAGACGATATGGAAATGCAGTCGTGGTGCATGGTTGGTGAGCCATCTCTTTTTCTCCCCTTGCGCCCAGAAACATTTCTGGAAACACAAATGCGCATCGCCGCATGTTGCTTAAGTTGTCGCATATCGCATGTCGTGTGCTGCCGACTGCTGCCAGGTACTCCCTTCACCCCGAGGTAAGGTAAGGTAAGGTAGCCTCTCTTTGCTGACGATGATGCTGCTCATCCGATCCAGCCATGACTGCCGCTGCCGCCTCGTGCTGTGGTTGCGCTTAATGGGCGAAATAGAGACCCCCAAGTGTCTATTATCGTTTTGGTGGCACTGACTTCGACATCAGCACCAGCACCAGCTCTAGGCAGCGCATGGCACGAACGGCCCCAAGATAGCTCCATTGTCTTGGACCGCAGGGCTGACTCTGTGTCGCTGCACCGAGGTTCGTTACGCCTAGCCGTTTGTGATGCGGCGATCTTTTTGCGTTGCCCGGTGCTGCCGCCACGCAAATTCCTTCCACGAGGAGCAATAAGGTGTGGTGGTGGTGCTGTACTCCCCGTTGACCGATATCCTTTCCGAGGTTCCTAATCGATCGGGTGTGAATTCCATCTCGAATTATCCTCTGTATTTCGATTTTCGATTGCTCGTCTGGCATACACGCTAACGGGGGGCAGGCACCACTCGGTCGGAGCTTGGCCTCTTAGCCTACGGCTGTCATTGCTAAAAGAAGAACATGCCGGTCAGAGGTTCGCGAGCTGCCCCATAGAATTTGTCCTCCAAGTATGCACACATTGGTGACCGCAAAGTGCTGCCGATTGACTGAAAGTGCATTTGCTATGTATGACGAGACTTGGCCCTCCAATTTCGCTGGCATGTCATCAAGGTTGATATGAGGCCTAGTGTTGATCTGGCGCCCGATAGCTTCGATTGCGCTCTGAGGCCCGCCATGTTCATCGTCGAGAGTAAGCAGGGGGAGTTGTTCTGTCACGATGCAGCGTGGTTGGTCGCAGCACGACAGAAAAGGGACATGATCCACGCGTCAGGTACCGATGGACGTCGTACATATCTTTTGCTGTGATGGGCTGGCATGCGAGCGACCGGTTCGGATCTCCATCGTGGTTGAAGGAGGTCACCCTGGTACTCGTAGCGTCCAAGCTGGATTCTGAGTGGACAGTAACCGCAGCCTGCCTTGAGGTACGAATAAGTAGGCTCAGGGTTGACGCATGGAGCAGACCGAAATGGAAGCAGTTGTCTCCATCCAATTGCCGAATATAGCTTGACCATAATAGTTTCAAATGGCAAGCTCGTTTGCACGGGTCAGTACCTTATGTTGATAAAGGTCGGCATGGATGACACTCGTGCTGACTGTCAGGAAAGAATAGCCATGTGTCGAGGTAAGGTGAGATGTCCGTTATCATCGACCAAGTAACTCGACGCCCCAGCTAGGCGATCGTATACAAACAACTGTTCGTTGTGCTATTATACCGGGATAAGGCTGTGCAATGGTGCATGCAGGCCATCCACCAGAGGTCCCACCATACTGCGGTGGCTGTCTTGGTAGTGCCTATTGGCCACAGTACGTTCCGAATTGGTGCTGGTGCTGACCATGGCCGGGAGCTTCTGCATGCGAAGGTTCCATGCTCTTCCCAGTTATCGGGAGGATGGTCAGATCAAACGCGCTTAGTATCATGCCGTCATTGGAGGCCATGTCGAGATCAGACCCGGGCACCTGGTGAGAGAGACTCGGGCGGCCTTCTTGGATCGCAGGGTACCTGGTGATGGCTGAAAATGAGATGCGATGTGATGCCAGGGGCAGCGGATCCCAGTCCTCCATGATCCATGGACGAGGGAGCTTGGATGAGCATCTCCCAGTCCCGCAGAGTAGGTACACTAGAGTGGGCGAAAGGGAGGTATATCATCCAATGTGGACTATGTCTTGGATGCAACGGCTTCCGTCAATCCCCGTACACCGGCCAATGCAAGTCTCAAGGGGGACGAGCTGCGATTCGACCGATGCGAAGGCATGTTTGAGACTTTGATCGACGGGTCCTTCCCTCCAAATCCAAGGCTCCGGTATTGGCCCGTGAACCTGTCAACGGCACGGCTGGCGAGAAGAGGGCGAATGATTGCAGACAATCCTATGAGAGCCCCGGGTTAGCAGCCCGTCCTTTTGGTTCATCGCCTTGGCCGTGGAAAGACATATAGACTGCTGGTTTCAAGGTCTGCAAGGCTTGTAGATGGAAAGCAGCAGTAGCACCACCACCACCGGCCTCACTATGCATGATTTCGCCGAGTCCTTCTGGAATTTCGAAAGCAGGCATCGGTGTGCAATTGGAGTGGCTGCAGGTATTTGCTAGTGTGTGGTTGATATCCGCAGATATGTGTAGTAGGTAGGTATCAGACTAGACGCGGCAGAGTGAGGGAGCCTGTAACGGCGTTGACGAACAGTTGACGATAGCAATGCAGCTAGATCCCAAAAACTTGCATGAGGGCTGTCGGTCAACGCAGGCACAGGATGCAGGTCAGCGGACGGATTTGGCGTCATGTCAGGTGTGTGTATCCTTCGCTACATGGTGATGTTAGTGGTGGTCGTCGAGACAGAAGAAGAGCGTCAGAGGTGCAGTACAGAAGCTAAGCCGATGAGAGTGAGGTCATAGGTAGAGCAAAACGATTTCTTAGGTAGGACTCCAGACTTCAGAGACAGAGAGAAAGAGAGAGGGAGAAAGGCAGGCCCATGGGGGTCTAGGCCAAGGACTCCTGCTGCCCTGAGCTGCTGCATGGGACATGCTTGAGTCCGAACTCCAGGGTCTGGGAAAGGATGGATCGTGTGGTCAAAAGGATGGAAGGTATGGACCATCTGAAGTACGTATCTGTACCCAGCAAGGTACCTTACCTAGGTAGGTAGTGGTGGAGGAAGGTGAGGTCCACGGGTGGTGAAGGAAACGGGCAAGAGGTATGAGGGTGTGCTGCCTGGGATGCCTGGGCGAGCGACGATGCAATGGGAAGGAACATGGGGATGCAGGTTTGCCAAAAAGGGCAAGTTCGTGTGCTTGATTACGAAAGCTTGCGCCCGCCAAGCCCTTCCAATTCGCCCATTTGACTGGTGCGCACAGGCAATGGCAGGCATGGTCCTCACGTGCTCGTCTCCACTGCCCTTCCCTGCCCTCCCTGCCTCCCGGGCTCCGTTCAGGTGACAGACCGCTTCCGTGCGAGGTTCACTAGCGACGTACTTCTGGGTAGGGATTCTTGACTGTCGTCCATACACATTCGAGAGAAATGCACCAATTTCAGCATTTTTTACAATTCGTCCATGTGCTGCAACTTGAACTAGGATTTGTCACTGGCGACTCCGAGACGATGCGTCACAACTTCATATCCTATGACAAGACGACGGCTTTGGTTGTAACGCGGGTCTCATTGCATCGCCCGTCACTCGTCACCTCTATTGCCCTGCCCACCATCTACCCTCTCGCTACCTTAATTGGCCTCAATGCTGATAGCCGGCTAGCTAACACGAAGAACGGGATTCGGAGGACGGTCCGCCGTCAAACATGGCCGTCTTACACGATGCCTTGGTTCAGGGTCCGGCTCGCTAGACCGCACGCTTGCCTAGAGAGTACACGAACTCGGCCCCTCCAAACACTCTACTAGGTACACTTCTCTACTGCTGGCCCTTGGGAAGATAGCCCTTCGACTGGCTGTTGATTGAGGCGCTTCAGGGACAGATCCAGGAATCCGTAAAGATGAGAAAGCACAATTGAATTCGGCGGAGCATCAGAGTAGTCGACCAACCAATTGATCGCAATTCACAGCATTGTGGTGCTCGATGCACGACCAACTCAGGCACTCCACTGTCGCACTGGGGCCGATGCATCTCGTGCAAGACGGGCCCGATACAAGACCTGCGTCAAAGTCCTGCAGCCCACTACCGCAGACCGTACGAAGTACCGCAAACTGCCAGAAATAAGATACATCAAGACGTTACGAGGCATTTGTGTAACCCCAACCCTAGGCTATTACTCTCGACTCTCGAGCCCATAGAGCCCCTCCAAGTGCCAAAGATTCTAATGTCGCCTATAGCAGCCTGCGCTCACCGAAAGCCCCAAATCCGGCTCACCAAGACACGTCTTCGCCCGGTCAAGGGTCGCGACCCGGGCGTCACGTCCTCAACGGTCGAATTGCCGCGCAATCACGAATGCGCGTCTTTCGGTGCCCGATGGCGAACGGTCCGATGCCACATCTATCCCGTGGCTTGCCACTCCGAGCGCCCGGCGGGTAGGCCCATCTTGGGGACCGGGCGGAGAGGTGGAGGTTGCAGCATTAGGAACCCCGCCGGTTGGGGTTATGCCAATCGAAGAACACTCTCGATCCCCTCATCCCCATACGAATACCACGTCCGACATTCATGACCGGACTTGGTTGTGTTGTTACCTTGTTCTATTAGCAGCGGCACGGAGTAATTACCTCGGACGAAAGCTGCGATGATACGTCGACCGATATCACTTTCTCTATACCCAAATCTGCGGGATAATCAACCTCTTCGCGTCTGCGTATCTGCAGAATCGTCGAGCAAATCCAAGGAAAGAATCGGACCATCATTATGCACTTCAAATGACTCTATCTCGCTGTGACTGCTTCTAGAGTGCAACAGCCTCGTCGAGCCGATTCATATTTCACTTTGTGGGGGATCCTCACTGGGAGCAAGGATTTGCTGTCTCACAAGGAGCGCAAGCGATTGGGCGGTGAGCGAACCAGCGATGCTCCTCGAGCTGCCACTGGACGTCATCCAGGGATCGACCCCTCGTTGTCGTCGCCATGGATGAGTTACGGCCCCTGTCTACTTAGCTTCGACACAGCCTCGCAGTCAGCAAGCCACCGCGACTGAACCACAAGGGCCTCTTCCCACCACGGTGGGATCAAGAGTCCCGGTCCATTTTTATCTACCGCTCAACGCCGCCGCCCCGTCTCTCCCACCACGTCTTGGCCGGAGTCGCCGTCGGTCTTGTGTGGGGCTTTCTGCTCAACATGTCCACACTTCGACGTGTTCAACTGCCGCCGTGCCGTTCAAACCTCAGAGTGTATCGTCATTTTCTCCCAGGTTTCTCACTTGTTGAAACACAAACAAGCACGATGCATGCGTGGCCCCCGGATGCCTGTCTAGTCGGCTAGAAGTCTCTCCGCTCATTATCCGCTGCAAATGCACTGATCGTGGGAATCTTACGAGTTACCCTAATTCGCGTCTTTTCGAACCGTCATCAGCATCATTCTGCATCAATGCACCAGGAAACCCGCACTTCTCTCCCACCAGAAGCATGTCTCGAACATGGAGCTCCCCGGCGTTGTTTGTGTTGGCGATACCCTATGCCGTATCATCAAGAAGGAATCACGGGGAATTACAACCCTTCCCCTCTATTTCCTACCCTCCACTGGTCCGGTCTTCCATTGCGGCAAGGGATCGTGATCCAGGACTGCACGTCACAGTTGAAGCAGCAGGGCCAGTGGAAGTTGGCGCCGGCTTGTGCTGAACCACAGTAAGGCGTCCCCAGCCACACCCCGTTTCCATATCCATGCCTCGGCCGGTGCGTTCCCTGCAACGGTTCCCGCGCCGTCCTAACTTGGTCTGTTTAGTGTTTCCTGTCAGGCTGACCCGTGCCACATCCACTACAGAGCAAACGAACGGTTGAACCTCACTGCCGTCAGGACTCAGTGGTCACCAGGCCCACTCCAGTAGAAAAGTCCCCGAGCCGTGCTGTGGCTTTCCTCTGTTCCCGCACCTATGTCTCAGCTCCCGCGTTGGCCTCTTCCCGCGGCCACACGCCCCTGGCGATCGAGAAGATATGCCGAGCTAATTGACAAGTCCTGGCGTACCGGTACAACCAGAATATTTTGATACAGCGGGAGCGTTGGGTGCTACCTACCCCCAAGGGAGTCGATACCGAACTCCTTCTTTGTTGCAACAATGTCTCGAAACAACAAAGTCCTATCAAGTGGCAAATGTGAGGCTCAATGTCGAACGGGATGGTCTCGACCTCGGCAAGGACCCCACGCCTAGGAAACAAGCGCTCGGAGAAGGAACCAGCCATCCCATTCTCCGCTCCAGCAACCTCTAGGCAATCGTTTTCTCGGCGCTCGCAAACCGTCCAAGCTTTGACGGTTTGCCGATCATTGACATCCGCGCGGATCCGTGGGGCCAAAAACACTCGTCACACACGCGATGAGAAAGGCGTGGTGAATCCTACAAGGCATTCTTGTGCGCTTCCCGATTCTCCCCCACAAATGTCGTCAGAAAGAGAGCCGCCTTGCCGCCAGCGAGCCTGGACTCCCTCTCGATGAGTCGTTCAGGCAGGATTCATCCTCCGCACCCGCTGTCGGTGTCCGTACAGGACCGTACAGCAGCTCTTAACGTGTATACTTTCTTTTCAGCCATTTCCGCTGTCTTTGGTCCCGCGAAAGCAAAAGGTACACCCCCCGGCCAAACACCCGCCCTAACAGCCCCGAAATGCAATACCGCAGCCGCACCGCAAGCGCGCATTTGCTCCACAGCCAGGGATTAACCCATAATTCTTTCAGCTACTCCGGGGTCTTGTCTTATGCCCTTGCCCTTGACTCTTTGACGCTGTGCCGCCGCATTTCCTGCCGCAGTACGGATGATTTACTACGTAGGTGGTTCCCAGTGTGTTCATTCCTCTGCGGTCAAGGGGACCACGGGATGTGAAACATGAGATCATGGAGACTTTGGGGCCTTGGAATGGCCTAGGCTCTTTCTCTGTTCGGTTTGTCTTTTGAGACCCACGATCTCGAGCCAATGCTCGGCCTTGCAGAGAAGTGAATTCCATTGAGTCAAGATCGCAGGTGGAATTTCCCGGCTCCCTACCCTCTCCCCCCCCCCCCCCCCCCCCCCCCCCCCCCCCCCCCCCCCCCCCCCCCCCCCCACCCGCCCCACCACAACGACAAGAAACACCCCAAACGCAGCCAGCAGGCCCCCCCCCCCCCCCTCCCCCCCACCCCCCCCCCCCCCCCCCCCCCCCACCGCTCCTCGTCCCGTGGAGTACCAAGCATCTAAAACGGCAGAGTCAAGAGTCATGAAGGATCCCGGGTCCTCCCTCATGGTCTGATACACTTCGAACCCAAGTGCTGTCTATCTCACCTCGCAGCCATCAGTGCCAAGGCCCGTTGGGAGACGATGAACGATCCAAGACTTCTTTCTCCATGCCCAGGTACGAAGGGTGGTGGACATTTTGCTGCCTGCAGTATGTATGTCTTTACGATACAGCACACATCCCAACTACCCTCTCAACTTCCGAACCGTTCTTTTCAACCACTCGTCGTCAGGTCCCTCGGAGTCCAACATTGTTACCTAGAAACAGTCCCCCCCAAAGCCAGCATGGCGCAAGCTTTCCGGCCCCCAAATGATCCAGGGTCCGGTAGTTGGGGACTCGAGGGCGTGGGAAAAGAAACGGCGTGGCGTCTGTATTTCCGAGACCCTTCTCCCCAAAGAGGCCAAGGAGGCCTCGGCCACCCGTTTGAATCATGGATCCCTTCCATCTGCTCGCGGAAAACAGATACCTAGCAAAAGAGATCCAAATGCGTCGGTAGTTAGACCTACTAGGGCGTACGGAGTACAGTGCACGCCAATTCAAGCCCATCGCCGTCCATCTACCTTACCCTACCTTACCTTACCTTACCCCCATTCCCTCCCTCACCCCCCTTTTTTCCTCGCCACCCGGCTCCCCTAGCCAGACGTCGACATCACATCACATCACGAAATACCTAGTTAATCCAGGCCAAACAAGACTCACAGTCGTCGATTGCCTACATTCCACGTCTGCCTACCTTTACGAGGTGCCACCAAGGCAGGACTGTCCGTCTTCTTTTCCATGCTACGCCTCTCCGTTTCCATCAAAGTTACCCTGTCGTGATGTTTGTCTCTCCTTGTTTTGCAACATCCGTGTTTCCTGCAATATCTCGAAGCCTACGAGGCATACTCACGCCTGGGCCCTTTTCTCCATTCCTTATCCTGATTCAGAATCATCGCAACGGCGTAGATACCAGACAAGACCGTCTGCCTACGTACCCTACTCAGTAACCCTTCCCCCCTCCTCGCATTTGCGTAGCAGTCCTAATGCCACGATACACCAAACACGCATCTCCCTGTCAAAGTGAAGCGTCCATTCGTTCAAAAAGGGCCATTCGTCATTATTAATATACATATATTTGCCTACATCTCTATCTCTCTCATGGTGATCGTGGTAGGCAACAACACACAAAATACCAGGTCGCGTACAGCCGGACCTAGCCCTGTCCGTCGCGGCCGAGAAACCGGCCACTCCTCCATTCACTACTCCACACCGGCGAGCCTTGGACTCACGTCTTCTGTGTGTGTCTTTATATATGTGTAGAACCGGAGATACGTTTTGGGGGGGGGGGGGAGAGAGAAAAAAATGCGGTTTGTTTTTATGACCACATGGCTTTCGGCCCGCAACCCCCGACTGCGCACTCGTCATGAAGAAAACTGCCCTTCCATGCCTAAATTTGACTCCTTTCCTCCCGGTTGTGACTTTTTTTCGTGCTGGGTATTGCGTCACTCCATTCAAACGTGGTCATGGCGCAGGAACATGTTCGCTGTTCGTAAGGGATGTAGCGCAGAGAGG